ATCGCTAGTTTAGTCTTAGCGTCGCTCGCTAAGATATCTATTAATATTATATAATATCGTTCGGCTATATAACTATACGGTCGAATCTAGACGTCGCTAGTTCTTACTAAGACATCCTACGGGTTTAACCCGTAACAACGTAGCCTACTTATACTTTACTTTTCTCGCTTTATTTTTACTTTTTAGGTAATTTAAGTACCTCTCGTTTATTAAAGAATATCTTTTACCTATAAATAAGGCTAAAACGCGTTAGTTAAGTTACCTTAAGTACTTATTTACTTACGAAGCGCGATTTTAAGTTGTTACGCCAAGAAAAAAGGTTACACGCTGACGGCTCAGGGGATAAGTAATACTACTTATATATGACGTAAGTAATAGCCTAACTAGAAGGGTTTCCGAGGCGTGTCGTCATCCGCTGTGGATTGCCCCTCTAGTAATGCTCCCTAGGGGAGTACTCCATACTCTGTTTTTTTATTCTGAGCCCGGAGTCCCGTCCTCGTAGCAACAATAAGGCAGGCAAGTCACGGGACAGCCTAGCGCCGAGTAAGCGTCCTTTAGCGGAGGCTAGTAACCAACCATGTACGAATTTACGATACACTAAACCCCTCCTAAAACAGCGCCGGCCGTCGAGCAATGTTAACCCAAAACTTGGAAGTGGCTCCCTGGCAATCCAGACCAGCAAGCGAATTCGCACCATAATGAAGCGAGCGGTATCATGCAACTCATGTAGGGTGGTATCGCCCATTCCCAGCTTCTTATCAAAAGCACCTCGACCTGCTCGCTAATTCCAAACGATAATGATGTTCCCCTCCGACTAAAAGCATTCCGGAGATCCCAAGACTGTTTCCTGCCTCCATCAAACCCCTTTCGTCGGTGGGCAGGACGCGTCGACAATAGCCACAGAGGTCGCGTGACTTCCTCCCAACACAACCACAACTCAATATCAACCTCATTCTTCCGACCCCTTATCACGCCAGAACAGCAACATGGGAAACCCGCTCAAAGCTGCCGTCGATCATGCTCGAGGGCAATCCGGTGCTTCCCTAGACTCACAAGCTTCGCTTGCCGACGACACTCACCTAATCCGTCCCACACGCACGCTGTCGCGCATCTCCACTAGCGATAATATCGTATACAAAGTATACAAGCGGCGTTTCTTTGGCCTGGCCCAACTGGTTCTGTTGAACATCGTTGCCTCTTGGGGCTGGATCTCCTTTGCCCCAATCTCCGATACCGCATCCCAGTATTTTAATACCTCCGAGTCCAATATCAACTGGATCTCGACCGCATATTTGTTTGCTTTTGTGCCAGCTTCTGCCGTCAGCTCTTATACTTTGCATCGATATGGGTGCAAGGCCTCCATCATGGTCGCAGCTGGCCTTCTGCTCGTGGGAAGTTGGATAAAATATGGCGCCACCCGTGCCAACAGCTTCCCCGGCGTCATGGTTGGTCAACTCCTGCTCGGCTTTGCCCAGCCCTTCGTTCTGGCTTCGCCTACCTCCTACAGCAACATATGGTTCAGTCCTCAAGGACGAACCACTGCAACTGCCGTAGCCTCGCTAGCCAACCCATTTGGTGCAGCTCTTGGTCAGTTGATATCACCATTCTGGGCAGACAAACCTTCAGACGTCCCAAATATGGTCCTATACGTCTCCATCATCTCTTCCATCGCATGTGTTCCCGCTTTCTTTATACCATCACGACCTCCGAGCCCGCCATCGGCCGGCTCGCTCCCCAACGAAAACGTCCACGGGCTGAACACCATGCGTAAGGAACTGAAAATACTCCTTCGCTCTCCAGAATTTTTCATTATTTTCCTGGCGTACTCCATCTACGTTGGCCTCTTCAATGCCTTCAGTAGCCTGATCAATCAACTCCTCGAGCCTTACGGGTTTAGCGAAGACAATGCGGGTATCGCCGGAGCAGTGCTGATCGTTGTCGGACTCGTCTTCGCAGCCATTTCCTCACCCATCATCGACAAGTATAAATTTTATCTCGCCTATATCAAATCTGCAGTGCCAGTCATAGCGATCTCCTACCTAATTTTCATCTGGGCACCAGCCACCCGGTCGTTGGCATACGTGTTTGTAGTGTGCGCCTTGTTGGGTGCAGCAAGTTTCGGACTCGTCCCTGTGGTACTGGAGTTCTTGGTCGAGATCCACTATCCTCTGGGGCCAGAACTAGCCAGCACCCTATGTTGGTGCGGCGGACAGCTCCTTGGCGGCATTTTCATCGTCATCATGGACGCTCTCAAGGATGGCGACGCGGCAGATCCTCCTCAGAATATGCACCGAGCATTGATCTTCCAAGCCGTATTTGCATTGATCGCCGTTCCCGGGGTTTTAGCTCTAGGCCTGTTCGGCCGCCACGCTAATGTCAGACGGCGTAGATGGGAAGCCGATCAAATAAGCGACGGTGGCGTCAGTCAGATCGTCGAGTCCGTCGAAGAGCGGGAACAGGATGTCCCTGTGGGCGGCGAGCCCTCGCGCAGGTCATGACGATCAACTGGCAACGGGGGGCTGGTGTAATTCAAGTTTTTGCAAATCTAGATGCTGGCCATCACGGGTGACATGTAAGTATGAAGTATCATTGTAAGCGAGCATGAATTTGAGCATGGATTTGAATTTATGAAGAACGCGATGGGTGTGAATTAGGGAGAGGCTGATGCTGAGGCTGGACAGCAAAAGCGAGGTTGCAGGAATGGGGACCAGCCAACGACAAGACTGTGGTTATATTCGATATCAGGAGGAATGGAATAGGATGTTATAGATGGAGTCTAGTTGCCATCGTGCCTAGCACAAGGGGAAGCACCCGGGTGTTGGGTGAGGGAATGGGAGGGGACAGCACATAGAAGGCATTAAGGTCGCTCTCAACAATCCCACGTATAATCAATCCACACACCGTTTTCCCGTGCCTGATCGATACAAATCCCGCTCCGCACATACAGCGGCACAAGGCGTTTTCTCAGGTTCGCCTGCCCCGTGCTGTTCTGTGTACTCGCAGCACGCAAACCGCGCGTCCAATCAACATAGCGACGAGCGAGACGCCGCAAATCCATAAGACATATCCACACGGGTGCCTGGTCGCGCCATCCACCTACCTATCTAGTTTGTCAGCCGGCCAGCCAGCCAACCACAAGCCCAGGAGTAGGACAAAGCATGCTCGTCCAGGCCGACATCCATCCATCCATCCATTCAGAACTGGCTCCGCCCCCGATACTCCGTATACTTACACTTAGCTCCTCAGGCAGAGCACAGCGGGAAGTCCACTACTGCCCTAGCAAGCCCGTAATGGACAGCTCAGCGAAGAGCCCCTCTACGATAGTGCTACCAGGGCTCTCGCTCACACTGTCACTCTCGACGAAGGCACTGGCATAGGATGTGATGTGCACAAAGAACCGGGGTATAACAGCGTATAGCAAGTAGCTCGTCGAGCGTGATAATATTGGTGCGCAGCACGTCACTAGCTACTGACTACTAACTACTGTTCATGATTTGTAGCTCCCTCCCACGGCGTTACCTGGGACAGTACTAGACTACGTTGCTGGTCCAAGTACGGAGTACTTTGCGCCGCTCGGTCAATTGTGTTTACTATCATACACCGTCGAGGGTCCGTGAATGAGTGTGTCGCGAGCAACGATGATTATTGAATAAAACGAGCGAGAGCAGGGGATGGTGGGGGGTTTCCAAATAAATACATTATAAAATTTGTCTTCTGTGGTCTAAGAAACCAAAGGAACTACTGGTAGTCTATGAGCACACGAAGCCAGAGAACGCTAGAGCAATGCATTTCTGCTCGCTAATGACTGGGCATTGTTGGTATGCCATGACCGTCGGGCTTGGAACGATCGCACAACTCAAGGCGCCCAAAAACAGACGGCTTCTACCAGACCATCATAGATCCTTATGACCTGGGAGAGTACCTATGTTATTTCTCGGTACCTATCACCAAAACCATATCATCAAGGTCCTGTAAAAAACCGGCAGGCATCGATGATATCTTGGTCCCCATTGGCGAAGTCCCACCCCACGATCCGACTATCCTGTGAACAGCAGACTATGCGGCGGGCATCGAATTGCAATTTGAACACGCGTGATACTGTTTGTTGTGCTGGTGGTTGCTGTGGTAGGGGCTGGACTGGGGCAGGCGGAGTTTGAGCTTGAGGTGGATGAGCTTGGATATTCTGGGTTCCTGTTTGATTCTGAGCCGGTACGGAGATGGCAGCCTGTGGGTGGGGTTGCATCGGTTGTTGTTGTTGCTGTTGTGGTGCAGAGTTTGTTGAGGGTGAGGCGCTTACAGATGGGGCACTACGCGCTGTTATATGACCAAGCTGCTGACTCTGACCATGGCTTGGTACTTGGTTGCCATGAGTGATAAATGCTTGTTGGACTGCTTGTGAGATGGACGCTTGGGCAGCAGGTGATAGATTGGAGGGATTGGTATAGGCAGAAGTCGATGCTCCAGCTCGGGTCGATCCTGGCAACTGCCGCCAATTCGCAATACCCATAGCGTTGGTAATACCTACACCCAAGCTGGCCATTGAACTACTCATAGCCTGCTGCATGATTTGTGATGCAGATACTACGGCCGGCCGTGAAGGGCCACCAGCCCCTTGTATCGACTGGGGCACTTGTATATTCTGCTGGGGAGTATGGGTCGGAACAGGAACAGCCACTGGAACCGTAACTGCAGTTGGAGCAGCTGTAAGAGCATTCGGGACTGGAGGAAAATTGTTTTGAACCGCTGGCTGTTGCCCATGCCTTGCCCTAGGATTCTCTTGGGCATGAGATTCCTGGCGTAGCGTCTGACCAATGACCCAGTCACCTTGAGGGTTCTTTCGCCAGATGATAATGGTTTCGTCGTACGATCCGGATACAATGCGACCCCATCTACTCCCACCGCCACCAGGGGGAAGCTTCGACCCGAGTGCCACTCTAGAAGAGCCCATCTCCCCGTTGCGGATGCGGCGACTGTAATGTCTATTCTCGATAATGAGACCACTGGCGACATCTTCAAGATATTTTCTTTCTACATCTCGAGCTCTTGCATTGTCTTCTTCCTCACTCCAAGGTAGATCACCAAAGCCAGCTTGGACAGTTCTCACTAAGTTTTTATGGCCCTTCAACTCGGCGACTTCAGCACTGGTAAATGGATCATAGATTCGGACAGTATTGTCGCTGCTTCCGCTGACAATTCGTTTGCTATCAAATTGCACACAGGCGATGCCTTTTTGGTGGCCTTGCAGTGTACGTAAGAGACGTCCATCTTTGACGCTCCAGACCTTGATGAGCCTATCGCCAGAGGCGGAGACGATTAAATCGCCGTTGATTTGAATAGCGTTTACAGCCGCGCCATGACCTTCGAGGGTCAACAGCAGGGTGTATGGTTTCAAAGCTCGAATTGTGCCATTGGCCATTCTTGCTTCCAAGAGCGAAGGTTCCATCTCTGCGACGTTGATGATATAATTCGGCACGCGAGCGGTGCTTTCGCGTGAAATTCTGGGATAGTCCGGGTCAGTGATCGACAGATGGCTGCGATTCCAAATCTTGATCCGCCGATCCTTTGAACAGGTTACGAGATATCTTCGATCAAATCTTAGGTTCAGCACAGATTCCTCATGGGCGGATGGGATCTCGGAAATCTTCTGTCCGGTGGAAAATCGCCAGATGATGACGCTGGAATCACTACTACCGGAGATGATAACGTCCTCCTTTTCCGTGGGATCGAACTGGAGGCATAGAACAGATTGTGAGTGGCCAACCAATGGCTTGCCCCTCAATCGGCGAGTCTCGAGATCCCACACTCGTAGTGTTTTGTCTCTACTACCACTCACAAGCCACTTCCCGAAGAATTGGATGGTATATACACATTCGGTGTGCGCCTCGTTGGGATATGATGGGTGAGGGAGCTGAAAGGTGGCGTATCGACCGTTGCTCCAGTTTTGCTCCAACTTCTGGCGCTGTTTATACAAATGAAGCCAACTGAGCCTCCCCCCATTAGCGCTGTTTGGATGAATGATCAATTGAGACTTGAACGGAGCCTCGTTCTGAGGGGGCTGTGCTTGACCTGGATCTTCTTCATCGGTTGCCGTTTCCGACGGGCTAGGGTCGTAGTCCATCTCATCGCCAGAGTCATGACTATGTCTCTTGTTGGGGCGTTGAGGAGAGTTATGTATACTGTGGGGAGCATCTTGCATTTCCTGATCGTCCGTTTCGGATTGCATGTCAGTATCTGCTTCCACGACGCCGTGCTGTTCACGCCATTGAGACACATCAGCTGAAGCTTTCCGACCCTTCGACTCTAGCCAGTCGGATGTGGCACGCTTCTTGAGTAGTGGCTGGCCAGGACGTTTCCCACGTGCTCTTTTGGACTCTCTCCTCGCCGAGAGAGCATGAGCAGTTTCATATGCCTTTATTTCTGCAGGGTCGACTCCCCAGCCTTGTCCTTTGTACAACTCCTGCCAGAGCATAGTGTCCATAATGCGAGCCCGCCACGTTTGAGATGAAAGCGACGCGGTCAACAGGGTGCCGGCCTCCAAATAAGAGAAGATCTGAGATGTGATTTCCGGTGGCAGCTTTTCCAAAGGGTCCATATGCAGGAGTGGTGTAAGTCTTTCCACAACAGCGGCAATATTGGAGGTTCGCAGCGTGCGCAGGACTTCATATGCTATCTCTGCCCGCGCGTGCTCGTCCTGTGCCATAACCCATTCTTGAAACCGAGCGGCTGTTGCTGCAAAGATACTCCGATCATCCTGGCTGGTGGTCTCTTCCGAAAAGCCTTCGTCCAAACGAAAGGGCGCCGAGTTTGAGGCGGAGGGGTAGGGACTCTGATGAGAATCGAGGTTCGAGTGGTGATAGGAATCCATTGACGCGGTATTTCATGGACCTTTTCGTTCTTTCTTGGAGTCGCTGAAGGGCAAGAGAGCCTTGAAGATTTGCGACCGCAAGGTAGGACCGGGCGCAGATGGGAAGCAGACCACGTTAATCGGTAACAGGAAACATGTGAACTGCTAACAAGGCGCGGCGGAGGGCATGTGCAGAGCTAGGGTGTCAAACGAACAGGATGAAACCATCCAGAAGTAACAATGAGATAGTAGGATTGATTTGAAGTAGGTAGAAAGAAGTGCAACCAGACTATCAGTCAAGACGTCTGATCATAGATTAGAACATGGGATACAATAACTGCTGTGAATACAACATCAGGCAGTGGGAGTGACGACAGAAACCTGAAGGGGAGGCTGCAGGAATCATGTTTTGTGCTGCCTTGACCCGTGCACGGAAATGCGTGAGGCGAGTTTCAGCAGATGCCATAACTCGATCGATCGGTACGCTTGGGCCTGCACCTTCCACAGTGCCACTGGCACCTGGCACCTGCACCTTCCTCGTCCTGGACGATAATATCCGACCAATTCGGCTGCCTTGCTTTGGGAAGCCACCGCCCCTTCGCACAACCAATCACCTGTCACCACTCCAGACCCCCCTGCTGCCTCCGCCGGAACCGCTTGGCTAGCCGAACTTCCTAACCTCAACGACGCAATTAAATTGCGAGTTTCGCCTTCACCAATGTGGGCATTCAATACCTAGAACGAGGCTGAACACAATAACAATGCATACTGACATAGTACTACTAGACTTAGGTATCGAACGGCTTAAATATCAATAATCCAAAATAGGTCGCTTCAGCAAAGAATTCGTCAAACAGTGCATCCCACTGCATCACCCGGTTCCGCGCTCCAGTAGAATCTTGTTGACCATCAATGTTCTCCCAATTGGCAACTCTGGTACAAACCTAATTGCATGGCAATGGGAACTCATTCACCTGTCCTTCTTTGGCTCTTCATCTTCTGTGGTTGGCGTCATCTGCCCATCCGATGCCATGTCCCAACTGCTCTCTGTTGCAGTTTCCCCTCCCTCGCTTTCGCCGCGTTTACGGCCTCTTTCTCGCATGGCCCCGCGAATTCGCTTACTGACCTCGTCAAAACTCTCCTTGCCGTCCAAAGTGCTGAAGCCTTTGAAAGACCCTATTGTCAAGGCCCCTCCTGCCGAACTGCTACGGCTTCGAGTCTTGGGAGTGGCGGGTCGTGATGCAAAGAATCCAAACCCAGCGATATTGCCGAATGATTCGTTGCGAGGCAACAAACCAAATGATTTTCCCGTTGGAGTGCTAGGAGATCTTTCTTCCAAGCCACTTGACGTAGGAGTACTGGGTTCCGTTGCTTCGGTAATTCTTGGTTCATCTGGCATAGTCTTATAGCTTGACTGATATGCCCCGTCTTTATAAGGGTCGGCCACAATCCTAGCCGCATCGAAATCGGGGAAAACCTCCGGGCCGAGTGTATTGATCACTTCTGTCACTTCTGCAGATAGCCTTTGCCGAGTATCTACTAATTTCGAGAGGCGACTCGATGACCGGGGGCTTAGGGCAGTGAATAGTGGCCGCAGTGACTTGACAATGTCCATACCAATTTCGCCAGTTCGCAATGCAGCAAAAGTGATACTTATGCATAGAATGAAAAACAAGATTGCGAACAGCCAGACCGGAACAAAGTTCGGCACGTATGTCTTTGCCGTGAGCCACCAGGGTACTCTGTGAGTGTAATAACCATCTCGTCGATTGTATACCAACCACAGGGTGACGATAATGGTATAATACGCATAGAGCGCTGGGGCAAACGCCATGGCCACCAACAATTTCCACGTCGTAATAACATCCCGCCCCTGTAGTTTGACGGTCGAGGCTGCAAGAGCCTCTCTAGATTTCTTGACTGAGATAACTTTGGTCGTGACAAACACTGGCCAAAACATCATCAGACCAGGCAGCGTGCCAACACTTAGCACCAGCAGTTCTCCAAGTCTGTACAGCAGTGTCCCGAGAATCAACCACCACGGGCGTTTGGCAGCATTGCCCCATTCGACTTGGTGATCTTTAATCCCCAATGCTCGAAGTTGACGATTATAGTCAATCACATCCTTCTTGAGCTTCACCACACGAGGGTCGTCTTTATACTGTGTATAACCTTTGACCAGCCTCCGGTTGAGTTCGACGACCAATGGTAGTGGCAATTTCTTGCCTGTTGGATTATATAAACGCCGAGCGGCTTGGACGAGCATTAGAGTGTCGTAGTCTGGACTGGACTGCGTCACTGCCACTAAGCCTTGAAAGACAGTCTCTAGAAGCGACCCAACCGCGTTTCTCCGATCCCCAGCCTTGTAGGCTGCGACTTGCTCGGGGTGCACTTCGATGGGATGCCCAAATTCAATGACGGCCCGGGACCGGAATTTGTGAGCGTGGAAATAGTTCATCCCAATGGGAATAATCTTCAGTCCGCAGTCAGGGTTGTTGGCCAGGGCCCCGAGAGCCATAATTGCCACTCCAGCTTTCAATGGAAGCAGGTCGGGCCGGTCATGACTGCCACCTTCAGGAAAGATACCAATACATCCTCCCGCATCGAGCTCTTCAAAGACTGCATTGTAGACTTTCGTCTGGTCCACAAAGGGAGCCACACTAAACTTGCAACCACGAGACTCGACCTTTTGAGCATTGCTTCCGCCGGGCGTTGTTTTACCACTCTCCAAGCCATTCGAAGTCAGAGCTTCCAAGGCTTCCGGCGTTTTGAACGGTTTCTTGAGCCTCAGCTCAGTGGACGATATAATTTCAGCGATTTCAGTGCTTGGTGATTGGCCTCTGACTTTGGGTAATACGATCAGTCCACCGATCTCAAACTGACCGTTCTTGAAGTCAGTACCAACCCCTTGGAGGAGTGTGGGGTCATTGTCTTGATCAGGAAGAAAGATCTTTCCCTCTGCTGGCTTGACTTTGTCCAGAGCCCTTCCCACAGGTATTGCCCCGATAGCGCCAGACAAAGTTCCAATGAACTTCCGCTTGGTAGATTTCTCTGCGATCAAGTACGAGATGCGCCTCTTCGCTTCACTTTTCAGGATTCTCATGAGGATCAAGGAATCAACGAACTATATCCCATAATTAGCCTTACAGACTATGGGAGCGAGGATAAAGAGCGTGCGTACCTGATTTGCGTGGGGCGCCGCGACGAGGATGACAGGACCTGTTCTCGGGACTTTCCAAGCCCCTCGAGGGTATACCTCACGGAAGAAGAGGTCTACCAAGACCGACATTGACCACAAAACCAAGTCGTACAGCCATGGTATCTGTAACTTGTTGCCCCTCTTCTTGCCACGTTTTGACACCTTTTTGCTGGCGCCATCATCCGCCATGGCGTTGTATACCCGGCGTTTGGGGATTGAGGCAGGCAACAAGGAGCAGAAGCTTATTAGTAGACGAGATGAGTCTTAAGTCTTCCGCCTGGACACGGGGGAGTTTCACACTTGGGATGGCATGCGACGCGGCAAGACGAGATGGCGGAATGACAAGACCGGGAGGAGCACGTGAGCTGGATGGAAGCAGTTGGTGGGCAACACTGTATAGATCAACACTAAGACAACTAGAACGGCGAATACCACAGTATGTGGTTGGCGAGCAGAAGAAGAAGAAGTCGTTGAGACATCGGCCAGCGTGTTCCGAGCAACTTTTGGTATCGTTGAGAAGCAACGTGGGGTTTGCCTGCGCTGGCTTGTGAGGTCACAGGCACCAAGACGAGGCACTTGACGCACATGCACCAATCATCCGATCGGGTCCAGGAGGGAGCTTTGCGCAGCCTAGCACTGGAATTTGTTGGTCCTGCGGGGAACCCGTGCGTTTTGGGGGGATCGAAGGGGGCAGGCGGCCGCTGTGTAGCGGGGTTGTGTCCCTACGAACCACCGCCATGGCCCCAAACAGTTTAGGTAAGTCCAGGGGAGCACCGCCTGTTTCCAACTAGTGGTTAGGTGCTCCAGGCATTCTTGAACATTCCACGTCCAGCTGCTTCATTGGGAGTATTCGATACGAGAGTACGAAGGCGTCCGGCACAGCAGATAGCTCTGATCACTTACCGTCTGCTTGGTGTGCCTGGATTCGAACGAAGTCTCCAGCCTACATTACGAAGTACGAAGTACCTTGATTGGAGAGTGGTTTTTAAGAAAGATACATGATGATTCCTCCCAGGGCATTCAGAAGTCTCTATCATTTATCCGAGATTGCGTTATGAACAAACACATTATTAGCACCCAGTCCTAGCTGGAAGATGAAGAGAAACATCTCTATTCTAGTTCAATCACTCAGTGTAACGTGATATAAGAACACTGCATCCACATCAGACATATCTTTCATATATATCCAAAAGCATTCATGCATTACTATTATTACATTTCCCAACGTTTTATAAGGGTGCATAAACCCAACCCACTAGGGGTGGCAGGCCCTTTGCTTTGTGGCCCACTCCTTCATTGCTGCGTTACATCTTTCTTGGTATTCAGTTCGCCACAGCCGAAGGCACGGAAGTGTCGTTTGCCTCCGCTTGCCCGGCTCGAAACTTCTCAATCATTTTATGTGCATCCTCTTCTATACGCCTCATTCGTTCCCGGAGGTGGAAGTCACGGTCTTTCCAGCGACATTCCCACAAGTCTTCGACCTGATTGCGTGCCTTTTCAAGCATCCCATCGACGTTCTCTTCGAGGTTGCTCAGTCGCTGTTTGAGATCATCAATCATAAAGTCCTTAGCACGGAGTTGCTGCCTGAGCACAGTGTCTTTCTCATGCAATCGTACTCGCATATCTGCCAGTTCCTTGTCCTTGAGATGCAATGCCTTGCGGTGCTCATAGTCCAGCTTGCGCATCATGCTGGCATAGTGCATGCTGATGTCGTTCTCTGTGTCCATTGACAATGGAGTGTGAGGGTCTGAACTTTCCTCGACGCCCAAGAACCCCGCCCTTGACCCTCTATTTGCTCCCATTTCGAACGGTCTATTGGGCATACCACTCACCTGAAGGGCAGTTGACCTGGTCATCGATGGGAATATGCCTCTTGCATTGTGGCCGATGTAGTCTGGAGACCGGGGCTCGCGTTCGTCGGGAAGTCGAGATAAGACTGGTCCTGCAGACTGAATTTGAGGAATTGTTGCAACATCCTCGGTCCTCGGAAACAAAGGCCGAGATGCAGGATTCGAGATTGTCCTTGTGCTGTTAGATGTTACAAGAGCAGGTAATTGCATACGTCTGTTCGGTGTGGCTGGTAACGAATGCACAGTCGGAGCCCTAAGAGGAGGCATCGTGGCACGCGAGATCGGTGCTCGTTCCCATAGCCTTTGCATTGATCTTGCATCATCACCATGGTTTGCAAACGAGCCTTGCGAGTGATCTGAGACGCCGAGATCGTCATGGCTCCCGGATCCCACCAGTGTTCTAGTTGAAGACCGATGGCTGAGCTGGTCGGGGCCTACTGGCGATGGCATTTCGAACTCTGATGGATCGAGAATATTGGCGCCAACGAGTGTGTTTGTATCGATAGTCGTAGAGGTTGACCTAGGAGTTCTTGCTCCATGCTCCGTATCCGACAGCTCGTCGTCGTTGTCATCGCCCTGCGTGGCCTCACTCCAGTCACTCCGAGCTACAGGAGCCATCTGCCCGCTCCGGAAACGTACTGTCACACCAGGACCTGTATAAGGAGGGGGGTCATCGACTGTGATGCGAGAGCCATCACGACTGATCCGAAAATATTGGCCAGCAACATTTATATCAATGCTTCGGGTATCCTCTTGAAGTGTGTTGGTAGAGAATTTGGTTCGGGTTGAGACAATGGAAGAAGCACGGCTATGTCTCATCGCGCGCGAGCTGTTGAGTTCACGAAGCCACTGAGGGATAACCTGACTTGGTGTGTTGTCATGATGGACTGATATCGTTGGAGATAGCAGGGCAGGAAACTGTTCAGCTGCTTCTCCTTCTGTCACTGTGGGTAGCGCTTCTGCTGCACTATAATCACCCAGAATTGCATTCTTAATGCGCAACATTGGTGAGTACTTCCCAGAGTATACAATCTACCAGGATGCCGACCTCAGAGCTCCCAAGTACGCAATGCTTACGCGCTGCTTGACGCGCGGCACATTCAATGTGCTTGATGGGGCGCTTTGACTCCAGTATTCGATTGCACGGAAGACGCGTCGCAGACACAAGGAGCAAGAATTGAAAGTGACCCCGACACGACTTCAGGCAGACTTTTTAAACAAGAAAGGTGGGAGGTGAAACAAGCGAGGAAATTGTGGCAGCCTTGGGGCTGACTACACTGCCCCTCAGAGGTTGGACTAGAAAGGCGATAGCGTGTCATCGCACTCGAGTGCAATGAGGGGCTTGTCTCTTCAACTCACCATCTACATGACACCACCGCAGCTAGCAAGCATAGCAGACTAAGTCATGGTGTGAATAGCCTGTGATGCAGACTTCACAAGCAATGAACATCTTCCTAGGTGACATGCGGTGATAAAAAAATTCAGAGGCATACGACCAAGGTGGATGTGTGGTGGGCAGCGGCGGCGGGGAAACCTCATTCCTTCTTGGCATCAATGTCATAAGCCACGGTTCCTGCCGCCACCATCAACGTTCTACAGTCAACATCGAGGAATGGCGGATTCATCATTCTAATCCTATTAACCCAAGATCCTGCCGAAGCAACTTCCGCTTGTACTCTTCAGAACGTACTCCTTCATCACACACAGGTGGCTACTCTTCAGCGTCTCTGGTCTCTGGAGTGAGTGCGTTGTCGGCCCCCTTCTGGATGCCTCCCTCGGTCAGAGCGACTTATCGAAGACAGAACGAAGCAGCCTACTCCTCCTCCATTGCATGCCTAATCAACCTATCTAGATATCTTGGAGAGCATCGGCAGCCTCGAGAACTGAATCAGTCCGCATTTTCAGGCAATGTCCATCAAGTACGTTCAGTCCCCGTTCGTGTCTACCGAGGGACCAATAGGATATTGGCTGATCGTGAATTCCTCAGCTGGGTTATGCTCGATGGTTCCCAGGGATTTGTGCGCCTGCCTGGTGAGCGAATCATTCACAAGTCTTCACCGAGAATAGCCCTTGCTCTCACCACTCCGACCACATATCCGGGAAATAGCCCTGTGGCTATTCATTGCAGCTCAGGCGTAACATACCTGACCAATCAGAGGGTAAGGATTGCAGCCTCGATATGTACCCGAGTTCCCTGTGCTGACATGGTCGACAGGTTGTCTATCTGCCGGATAAAGCTACCCCGGAGCTCCAATCATTCTCAGTGCCACTTCTCAATATCCACGATACTCACCTTGTCGTTCCCTGGTTCGGGCCGAATGCCTGGCAATCGGTAGTGCAACCTGTACCAGGAGGCAACCTCCCCGCCTCTCAAGCAGCCATCGAGCTCAAGTTGACCTTTAAAGAAGGTGGTGCTCCTGATTTCCACTCCAATTTTGAGCGAATCAAAGAGCGACTGCAACAGGTCGTTGCAGCTGCTCGGACTGAAAACCAGACCAGACGACGGCAGGACAGCTTTCTTGGGGATGTGAACCTGGACAATGTTCATCTGGATCAGCTACCATCATACCAAGAATCTGGACAGGACAGAATTGCACCAATCAATACAGCCACAGACGCGGATAACGTTGCTGAATCACCTGGTTCCGTAAGTCCCGTGTTCGTGCCTGGAGCGAGGAGAGCAGGATCCCCGGAGCCTGATGCACAACCTCCATCGGATGCACCCCCAGGATATGAGGAAACGCAGCAGCAGAGCATCCAGGCAGAGTTGGACCGAAGATTCTCGCAATCCCAGGCATAACCTGTTCCCTAGGTCTCTTGGGGTGTCATTGTACCATATCGAGCAAGGTGTTTTTCGTGTGTGGCTTGCAAGTTTGGAGTTGCAGGCCGTAATGGTGACCATTCTTCCCAGCTTGTAAGACTTTTGAAAATCTTAGAAAAGAGCAATTGTCCTGTTCCACATCGAGCGCACCCCATGCCAATTTGACGTCTCTTTTACGCTGTAGCAGACGGCAAGCCGGAAGTCCTGAAATCGGCTCTGCGACTTGGCGGCAAAAGATGAGGACAAACTGCCCCGAGCTCACGTGCGACCATCCAGCGCTGTGCCGCTTTTAAGAGCCACTCACCTCCCACTCACCTCTCACTCACCGTCGCCCGCACCTCGCTCACCTTTTCACCTTCACCCGGATCTAAACTTAGCGGCCTTATCGTTAGCTTAGCTCTCCTACTGTACAAGCTCCTGAGAACATTCTATTTCTAGTTATTGCACCCAGGTAAATTACATCCCATCTGGCCCCTATACTACTATCTAATTAATCACATCTCCAGCGCTGTTTCCGGGTATGGTAATGCTCTACAAACCCTAGCGTTAGCTTAATTTAGATTGGCTTAGGATCTATCTGTAAAAATAAATCTTCGATTCTGAAGCTGCTGGCTGCAAGCTCCACGACCCCTATACTTCCATCCGCTTCAAATCAGCGGCAACCACAAAGGGTGCATGCGTGTGGACACGGACAATATCGACATCCACGCCATCAGCCAGCTCTGCTAATATCAAACCACCGTTCACTCTATCGACGCAGAATACGCAAAGATCTGTGATAATCTCACTGACAGCGCCCCTGCCGGTCAGAGGCAAGTGGCACCTCTCAACGATCTTGCTTCGGCCGAACTTTTCGGTGTGATAGGTAGTGACAATGACCTTCGTCTTGTCCGGATTGCTCACAAGATCCATAGCACCACCCATCCCATTGAAGGCCTTACCGGGAACCATATAGTTTGCCAGGTCGCCCGACGCCGATACCTGAAGAGCACCCAACAGAGACAGATCGACATGGCCACCGCGAATCATACCAAAGGACTCCGCTGAGTAAAAAGTGGCAGCACCAGGGATAAGGGTGACGGGTTCTTTGCCGGCGTTCACAGTGTCGGGATGCCTACTCCCAGGTCCACATACGAGCCGTGCACAAGCGACTTCGCTGCTCGTTTAGCAATTCGCTTACGTTTGATCACGTCTTCTAACAGTGCTAGCTTATCAGCTGTATTCCGCAATACATTCTAGTTCAGAGTTAGAACTTCAATATGCTTGTCAGATGTTGCAGGCACGATTCGATCGACATAAATACCCGCTAAATCGACATGGTCTGGGTTGATATCACCGATTGGAACTATGTTTTCGGCCTCAACGATGGGTTGGCATGCCGCTTTAGCCATAATGATGGCATAGTTCTTCGCTGTTCGACGGAAGACGCAGTTTCTAGCTTCGTCGACCTTCCACGCTCGAAGGATCGCAATATCTCCAAAGAGGGCTTGCTCCATGAGATACCTTTTGCCATTGAAGATACGAATTTCCCTCGGGATCCCGTGCTCGGTGATATGTTGCTTGCCTGCACCATCTCTTGGACTATATCTGATTGGTATCTCTACTGACTGGAGCAACGTGTCCACGCCTGTGCCGGTATAGAAAGCTGGGACTCCTGCGCCTGCGGATATAGCTCGATGGCTATATTGCCGTCGAGGTATGCCTTTGTCAATGGCTTATTAGTTCCGATAAAGGAGACTATCATACGCGAGATCTGGCCCGTCGTCGTCAGCTTGGCTAGGCCATAAAGTCCGGTGCCTGCATTATTTGAGACCACTGTAAGATTTTTGGTGCCTTTCTTCTGGATGGTGTCGATGAGTGTTTCTAGAATGCCAGTCATTAGCTGAGCATAATTGGGGTTTGAGAAACTGTCGAGCTCTGACCTGGAACGCCGCATAGTCCAAATCCTTGGCTAAGAACGACAGAACCGTCTCTTATATCAGCAATCCCTTCATCAGCACTATCGAACAGTTTCGAACCGTTCAGTCGAGTTTTAAAAGCATTCGTTGATGAATATCTCCTGGGTGAGAAAGATAGTCTGGGTTTACGTGCTGGATATGGCACACAGAGTGTGGAGATTGTGCACCAGGATCGTTGTCGCTGCAAGACAATTGGTGCCGGCACTGACATGTATCTCCTGGCCATAGGAGAGAAGAGAAAGCTGCAGCTGAGAATGCATACTCGAAGCCTCACAGGATGACAGCTCAGGCTTCCGCAAATGGACTTATATGCTCACAGCATCTCGTTGGGTTATGTTGACACATAGTTCTGACCATTGCAAATTTTTGAACCGGTGCATCTCCAATAGCACTGTCTGGCAGCCACTTCTCCCTTTCGAATATACTCGTAACACGAGGGAATTCAGGACTTTGTGATGACAAAGTGCAGGAGTATCACCCGAAGTCGAAGATGAGGGAACGGAGAGCAGGGGATCGGTTATAAAAAATAGCCGATCGCTACCTTTAGTTGCATTTCGACCGGCCTAGCGCATCTAGGCGTCTTGCACGTCCCACCCGTGCTGGAGGGAATCAGAATGCAAATGATCTTGTGCCGAGTCTCAGTTGAGGATGGGAATCTATCCGCCTCAGATGTGACCTGTCACTCGCCATTAGCACGGCTTAGGGAAGGGAAGTGTACTCTAACAGTCAACACCGATTGCTTTTCCGCCGGACACCGAGCCCCGCGACCTCATGAACAAGGCTTGGACGTATGTCACGAAAAACGAGTTCACGTGAAGTTCACTTTGAGAGAGCTGAGTCCAGGCGTACTGACAATACTCGCTTCTTCATTCTACAATGCTGGTGCGAAGCTGATCCACAGTCTCAAGTAACCAGCAAGTAACCTCATCCGAAGCCAGCAACTCTCCCCTACGACTTCAGGTTCACCGTCCTCATATACGGCTCCGAGGGCGTAGGCATTTATCAACCCGAAGATGTGACTCGTGACCTGCCTGCCGACCCCTGTCTGAGCACGCAACGCGGCAACAGCGGCAACGCTGGTCAGACCACGTCCCAACCTCACGCCCGGGACGTTCATACCCTCATCAGATATCTCAGCCAAAAGGCCTCCGTAGTGCCCAAAGAGAATGTAAGGGGCTAGATCTGGATGCACATCCCCGAGTTTCTGGTAAAGACGGGCCTGGTGCTCTTTGTAGATCGAGTTCCACAACTTCCACCCGCCCGACATGTATTTTTGGAATCTTTCGAAATTGTTGCCTACCATACCGCGGGTTGGTCTTCTCCTCGCGAGCTCTTGTGCAACGTCTTCTGGTAAATCGGCATGAAATGCTGTCAAGCAGTTAATCGTCCTCGCCACGCCACTGAATGAAATGCATTTCAGCCCAATTTCGCGCACCAGCTCGGCGCTACTGACAGTTGGGTCAAGGGCATTATGTTGATTGTCAACTATGGACCAAGGCTATAGGTTGATTGCCTCCCCATATGTATAGATATCATTCAATACTTGAGGACAATTCAGAGTCGTGGATGTTGCAGCAGAAATTGTCATCCAGGCCCGCCATCCCACGCCTTTTTCTCGAGCCTCGTAGACAAGTTCTTTTAGAGCACCAGCGAACCTCGTCGAGGGCGTTGTCACTCCTGGTGAGGCATGAGGAGCGTTGATCAGTGCTTTGAGCGTGCTCAATAGCTTCGAAGGGCCTTTACAAGCCATGTTTTTGATGTCTTGTTCTCACGAATATGTGGTTTGTAAGTGTATGTTAGGACTGGGTCATTTTGAGAAGAGGAAAAGAGAAGAGAAGAAATGCTTGACCCGTTCGCAGATCCCGAATCACTGGGCCTTGTAGATTGGCCTCCACTGGGAAATTGCCGATCGATGAGAGTCTGCAGCAAGACATGGTATGGTGTCCCATACTATACCAATACTAGATCATGCTACGCTGTTCCTAGTCAAAGTACTTACTGCACAACTGGGTACTGATTCTCTGTAGATTTTGCTCACTTGGCTACTTTCGGACAAATTTGTACATCTGATATCTCTGTATTCACGGTGCTAGGAATTCTCGGTCTTTCAGCACCACTCGGCCAACACCCTATCGACACTGAAAAGGGAAAACACGTGCGAAGGACAAAACTAGTAAGAGCCGTGCATTCTAATCAGCCCAATCTAGTAGATATCGATGCCTCACATATGTAATATAGCCGTAAGCGAATGAGCGTCCGTCTCCAGCTCCACGTAATACCCTTGTCTGCGTCGAAGCGCAAATATTTTGTTTCTCCAGTTTGCACCTGCCTAACAGCGATATGACTTCTCCTCAAATCTCCCTTAATCTCCTCAGAGGCTGTATTTGAAGTTTGGTGCCTTATCACCCATTCGGCTGAGCTCCAAGTCGCTGTATCCATCCAAAGTTTGAGTTTCTCTCTGCTTATTAACACGTTGGTAGCCCAATCTCAAAGCCAGAACTGCCATCATTGCAACGCCGAGAAAGCCAAATGAAAGAGCGTGGCCCAACAGGAACTTGGGACTATCTCGAGCGCGATAGAAGTTGGATGACATTGCTCCCCCCATGTTGCCGAATCCGACATGTATAGCCATTGCACAAGCTCTCTTGTAGTTTCCAGCGACGTTGTTGCTGATCCAAGCAATGTTGCCAGGGAACGCGGTGTAGATACCTGTTTACAAGTCAGAATATGGCGGAGATGGAGTTGGGATGTTTCAAATTCCTCACCACTGACCACGACGAAGACGCCGGCATAAGTTACTCCTGCAATTCCCTTGGCCGCGCCCGCTATGGTTATGACATATCCAGCCATGGTGCACAGGATCAGGCCAATAAGGAAAGGAGATCGTTGCTCCTTGCGATCCACGATCCAGGCGGCCCCAAGAGACAATACCGTGGACAGGCCATAAACAGGGACCTATTTTGTAATTAGCGGTAGCACTGCTAAACAGCGGGGATCGTCCTTACAGTCATGAGCTGCGCTGTGGTTGAGCGATAACCCAGGTCTCTGATGATGGTAGGCAGGAAGACAGAAATTCCTGATTGGGTAATTAGTCAAGTTCTCGCGACCTTGGAAATGCATTCGAAGCTACGCACCATATAGAGGTACAAGGAGACCCATGTTCATGAACATGGCAGTGAGAACTTGCCAGTCCGTCAAAGCATCCTTGACGTACTTCCACTGAAATTCGTCATCCTGTTCGATGGCCTGGCCTTCTGCATTTATGGGCTTGAAAACGGTGCGACTGATAACCCATTCTCGTTCTTCTTTAGTTAGGAATCCTGCCGCCTCTGGGCTGTCAATAATCCAGAAGTAAGCACAACATGCAACGACGACTGTCAGAATCCCCTCGAGAATAAAGATCCAACGCCAGCCCGCTAGACCTCCGACGCCGTCCATTTTCTGAAGCCTTCGTTAGCGTCGAATTGAACCACACCGTTCGTAGAGATCACCATACCCCAATAGCGTAAGCTAGTAACCCGGAGAATGCCCCGGCTAGAGCTACAGAGGAGAAACAGAGTGCCTGACGAAACTGTGCGTCCCTCCGGGAATAAAACTGTGTGACATAATATACGATGCCTGGATACATCCCTCCTTCTGCATAAGCATTAGCATTCATGCAAGTTTGGGAAGTTCCTGTTCTGACCAGTTATTCCCAAAAAAATACGAGCAATCAACAAGCCATGGTAGTTCTGGACAACACCAATCAAGGTCTGAGAATACGTAAGCCATAACTCTTTGACAGGATACACCTCGTTGTGGCTAACAGTCACTGAACCCCACGCTATCATGATCGATGCGAACCAGACTGATGGCTTTAGTTTTTTAAGCAATATGTTGGATGGAATCTCGACCGCAGCATAAGTGAAGTAGAACACGGTCACTAGAAGTGTTGTTAGCCTCTGAAATCGTTTCCACATCTGGTGCGAATGCCGTACGGCAGAGGTTGAACTGTTCACTCGTTATCTTTAGATCTTCAGTCATTCCCTGGATCTTAGCATTGCCAATATTGCTCCGGTCCAAGTACGAGAGGAGAAACAAGACCGCGAGAATCGGAATGATGCGAATGTCCATCTTTCTTAGGACCTTTACTTCGTCCACAATAGGCACCATGACACCCTGCCTCGGCGCCTGATTTTGAGTCAGGCCATGGAGTGAAGTATCCTTGGGCTCGATCGCCACAGGGATCTGCTTTTCGAAGTTTTGCTCATTCAGAAGTTCGCTCCTGGGAGCCGCCATCGTTATCCGATGTCTATGGATAGGATAAAATCAACTTCAAGAACAACTGAAAAGAGTGTTAGGCTTTGTTTCAGGCTTATATCTGACGACCCTTATAGATAGGGTTCATCGATTTTGTCCAAGAATACAAAAATATGTAGTGGTCTCTCCATACTAGAAGCCTGGATAGAATTCAACAAGCGATCTGGACGCCGCGGCAGGCCCGCGGTCATTCTTTTTAAGCGAAGGCAGCGGGGCGGGTGGGCCGATGATATAACTTTTGGATGCGTGGGTGTGGAACACCCGGGGCAACGAGCTTGATCGGACGCTTCGTTGTCAAGTTATGAAGATAAAGAGATCATCTCAGGACATGGGTCAGGCGCTTATCTCTGCCACAGAGGTTCTTCGTGCCATCGTCTCTCATTGGGGTATTGCTAGCTACTTCTTGTCAGCTCTGCCGTCCTGGGGCGTCTGTAGTGCTAAAGTCTAGATAAGGCCACAACGAGTAGACTAGTATTCATTTCGACTTCCTGCCTGTTCAGGGAACTTTGCTCTTCGGGGAAACAGTTGCCGAGTGCCATTGAGCAGTGAAGGGTTTCCGAAAGACAGACCGGTCTTCGAGGACTTGAGACTTGAACCAGGCCCCGAGGCTAGATTGTCGCTTATTAAAAATGACCGGTAGCTAGCTGGTTCCGGGCTAGCCAAATTGCTAAGACGGGGTTGCGAGAGTTTGTTCGCGGTAGTGGAAGTTCCTGTGATGTCGTCTCCAGAAATTGTTGGGTAAATACAACCATGATGGTCCTTTGTCCAAGCACCAGAGAATGGCAACGATCACAGCTCTGACCATGGCACCGGAATTTAAAGTTGCAGCATGTCATGTATCGCCGATATACCTCAATACCGCGGATACCACAAGCAAATGCATCTCCTTAATCAACGAAGCTGCCGACAATGGTGCTCATATGGTTGTGTGTTTCCAGAAACTTTCATTCCTGCATTTCCATTTTGGAGCACGATCCTCCGCCCCGCCGAGTCTCATGAATTTTTCGTCAAGATGGCCAAAGAATTCGTGTACCTGGACAGTGATGAGATCTCCGCCGTACGCACCGCCGCTAGAGACAGGAAGATGTACGTAAGTTTAGGCATTTCGGAGAAAGTGAGGTACAGCAGTGCGAGCTTATTCAATACAAATCTCATGATAAGTCCCACCAGCGAGATCTTGGTCCGCCACAGAAACCTACAGGTGACTTTCTTCGAAAAGCTCACTTGGTCAATGGGCGATGGCTACGGTTTGAAGGTGGTTGAATGCACGCCTTGCAGTACAGACAAATCCCTCGCCAAAGTTGGAGCACTCATATGTGGGGAGAATACCAATCCCTTAGCCGTTAAACAATGATAGCCCAGGGCGAACAGTTTCATATTTCAACTTGGCCGGCAAAAACACCAATGGCACCAGTGACGGCAGCATCGCTCGCAGAGAAGTCCAAAGACTCAAGACGTGGAACGTACGATAACATTGCTCTGAACCGAAGGCGATGTGCTTCTCAGTGTGTCGAGGGCAAGTACTTCGGGGTTCTCTGCTCTGGATTATGTCGCAGCAAATGATCGAAACTCTAGTGTCCATCGCTCCCGAATCTGGCAAGGAGGTCATGCAATTGACCATGGAGCACAGTGCGCAAGCAGAGACTCTTTTCTTGGGTCCTTCAGGCGCATCCATACGGGCATTTGCAAGAGATCAGAAAACAGCAGAGAAGCACGAGGTGGATGCTGTGAGGCATGCAGAAGGAATTCTTTATGCGGATATGGACATGGATGCTACTATCGAAGGAAAGCAATATCATGACGTGGTAGGGTCTTACCAGCGCTTAGATATTTTCGACTTGAAGGTTAACACGACAAGAAGAGTGCCTGTCAAATTGTTTGAGGGAGATGCTTGAATGTATCTGAAAACACCATTCAGGCTTGGGATGGCCTCATTATGAAGAAAGACAATAAGTATAACTTGGTAAACTTTTAATCACACTTTTAATCGCGTGATAATCTAAAAGATATCTAGTTCTATAATATATATATCTATTATATGATATTGAGTTACTTTTATGATGATTTTCAAACTCGACCTTAATAGCTACGAAACTAACTAAGTTGACAAGGATTGCAAGTTGCGTGTTTGTATGGCAAAGGGTGTCACAGTTTACGGGCGGGTAGGAAGGTAGGTATCGAGCAGGCAGTTATTTCTTCTCTACGTACGGCTATTCAACAGGCGCAGACAGCTTGCTGCCTAGGTCGGGGTGATTGATAGGACGTAGCTCAAGGAGCTACAAACAGAATATGGTACACACGACGCGTGTATCAGTGCTCCGCAAGCCTTCCTAATGTGGATGCGGGACATTCTACAGCCTCTTCCAGTTCCTTATCTACCACTTGTTTGCAAAGGTCCACACCGCTACAACTCGTGCCAGATCCCGCCTACAAGTCACCAATTCGCAAAGAAATCAAAACCTCGAATCAAGAGAAAGCACGACGACGAGGCTTTCTATAGAATCGATGAGGGCGATATCATAAAGCGGTGACATTTTACGCCTGAGCTGGTAACTGGATGCGGTACTCATCCGCAGTTCGAAATCAGCCGTGTGGGCGTTGGTATGACCAGGACATAACCGAGGCCCGTACCCATAGATCGGAGCCAGACGATATGGAATGCAAAAGTGGGCAGTGAGACTAATCAGCGGCGCGGGAAAGGAATTCGGTCAGGAATTCGGTCGGTGCTGCAGAAGGCTGAGGGCATTCTCTGCATTGAGTGATAACTACACCATTGTCATCTTGTGGAACGGCGAACAGGAACTGAGAGGAATGGCGACGGCACTGAGAAATCTTGGGATTATCAAAACCTGCTGAAAGCGGCGAGGAGGCATTCTCAATACATTATATCTGCGAGCGTTTGGCTGCGTAGGCATAATTGGTGTGCGGTAAAGAGTTCAGTTCTGCCCCTTTACTCGGATCCTCCATAATCGGGCAAAACGCGCCGTGCCGTGCCAGCCGAAGTGTAGATGTAGCCGATGCTGCTTTTCAAGAAAGAGCCTTCGATATTTGATCGGGCAGGTGCAATGATGCATGGAGTCACGATAAATGTCCAAGGCCAATCACTAGGACCCGCCCGAGGCCTCAGCTAAGGGTGAGCGGTGCATGGTTGGATTGGCCGCGCCAAGGCGCCAGCATATTTGGCCCCCCCTTTGGGTGAGAGCACAGGGCAGCATCACCTTCGTCCCCAAGGAGGCTAAGGCTGGGGCACTCTCTACTCATCTTGGCATAAGAGGTTTTGGAGGTTTGCCGCATATCACGTGGGCTTGGAGCTCATACAGGGGCCCAATCACAGGCGACTTAATTTTCTAGTCTACAATCGAAGCTACCTTCGACATTCGCAGCTTGATCATCTTCCACCCTTTTCTCGGGAGACCGTGATCTTGATCATTCAAAGCTCCATTCGTTTTACTGACTTCCTTGACTCCATAGCACCTTCACATTGAGCCTTCCGAACGCTTATAGGACATCCCTTCCCACCCTCACCCCTCTCTCAACCACCACCCCAGTACAACATCAAGATGGGGATCTCGGATTTCTTCTCGGATCTGATGAGCTCTGTCTCCTTCGTGCAGGAAGTACACGCCGAAGCTCCTGCCGACGACGAGGAAGCTGAGGAAGGTGGTGACGACTCCAAGGAGGAAGGCGACGAAGAAGCCCCAGGAGGAGAAGACGGAGGTGACGAGGAGGAGGAAGAGGAGGAGGAGGAAGAGGAGGAAGAGCCTGTGGACCCAAAGCCGCAACTAGAGGAGAGTACGTTTGATCCATGCCTTCTGCAACGAGAGAAAGGCTTCATGACTGACTGCCTGCCTCACTAGATTGTGCCCGTTCTGCCCAATGTTCCGGTTACAAGCACCACTATGACGAGTGCGTCGAACGCGTGACGGCGAGCAACGAAGACCCCGACTACAAAGGTCCCAAAGAAGATTGTGTGGAAGAATGTATGTTTACCAGCCTCCCAATTCCGGAGATCATAAGTGCCGGTGCTAACTCCCCCCCAGTTTTCCACCTTCAACATTGTGCAACGCAGTGCGCCGCCGGCAAACTGTTCGCGCAGCTCAAATAAATACACGATGGCAGAATATCCGTCAAGGGCCTCACCTCGACGATCACACTCTTAGATGGCGAACGGACGACACGTTCCGGCAAAGGAGCCCTTGGGATCGACCCAACAAGTCATTGGCAACTGTGACCCACGCGGGGTCCATTCTTATCAATCCACTTGATAGGACGGATGCACAACGGTCAGCAAACTCTTTTGCGAGGACGCACAAACCCATCATACATAGTAAATTACGACCTGTACAGCTATCCACACCGGAATTACTTGAGAAAATAAAGACATTTCCTTCAGCATGAATCTGGCTGTTGCTATCTTTCGAGATGGACACATCCGTTTCGTACGATATCAGAACGCACATCTTCTACTGATGCCACCCCTTCATTTCATTCTCTTTTTGGTGCCCCGCCATGCTGACCAATGCAAGGAAGGCTACGAGCATTTGAGTAGACAACTGTTGCCAGGTTCCGGCTTAACATATCGGCAACTGACTACTCAGGTATCTTCCAGTCCCAGCCTCTCTTGCCGAAGGCCAACAGAGCTTGTGTTTGCCTGCGTACCTGCTTCGCCGCATGGTATGTCCTGGTCTGTGCCAGCGTTTCCTACAGATCATACTCATTTTCAATGTCTCTGTGCCCATTGCGCCAACTATTGTCTGATGCTTCTGACCATTAAATCGAAGATATATGATGTTCATACTTCTAACAATCATGTGCCAGTCCAGTCCATCTTAAATCACACCAGGACTAGCTTGCCGGGCCCGTGCTGAGTCACACTTGCAGACGTTTCTCTAGTTCCATCTCGAGCCACATCAACTGGGCTTTATTCCTTAAAAGATAAATTTCTCAGAGCATCATCAGGTCGAAGGGTTCCACGTCTTTCCCCTTGTCAATCTTAGCACGCCGGGTTTCGAGCCCACGTAGAAATACCTGGCCATTTCGGAATCATCTCCACGCTCACGAAGCAGGTTCTTATGTCTACTCGACGATATCTAACTAGCGACGACTTCCAACCAACAGTGTGCCACCTGCAGCCTTGCAGAGTCATCGGACATATTTGGCCCTGCAGCCTGCATTCTTGTCCTCTGTCTCTTGTGGCGATCGGGGTCCGGAAATTCTTTGCTCTGCCTGTACTGAAGCCGGGGCTACCATGGGCGATCGAGGCCGTTCGCAAGGTAAGTCGGAGCCCAGAAGACCATGGTCAGGTAGCACATGCTGTGTGAGCTCGCGCTGAAGGGCATAGACTTCTATTGGGATGTTGGATCTGGACCTGACCACGCACTATTTGATTTCTCTCAAAGTGGAACTGTATGGTGTTCTGCGAGCTGTTGATGAGGACGACATTGCCTGTGGCGTTGTTGATGACATTGGCGGTGCCCACCTGTCCCGAATTGGAGGTACTTGTGATCTTGTCTGAAGAGCCGTGCTTGCTAGTGACGTCGACATTGAACGAACGACAAGCGCTTGCGTCGATGTTGCTGCTCCTGGTACTCTGAAGGGATTGATGGTCGTGTGTGTTCTGGAGCAAGATGCTGCTCCACCCCGTGTTGTTTCCATTAAGGTTGCGCGGGCCGATAGAGGGTGCGTACCCCTGAGTTTGTACTGGAGTGGAAGTCTCTTCCTCACTGTATGATCTATGAGCATCCCGTAGCGAGGGGTTTCTAGGCATGGTGTATACTGGAGTTGGCAGATTGCTGCAGAACTTTTGAGGTTGACGGTGTGATGCACGATTGTACGCTTCGAGGAAAGTAGGTCAAAGAATGCTGAGTGTCGCAACAACGAGCAGTCAAGCAAATCCCTTTGGCGGACACATATGAGGGCGGCCACTCGAGCATTGTGGCCAGAACAAGGCTCGCAAGAACAGCGGTCGATCTATTTGGCTTCTGGAGGGCGGCGACTTCTGACGCCAAACTCGCGAAAGGGCCCAACGTGGCCGGGGCCCCGTTGTCTGCTAAAATGGACATTAGAATCCCGTCGAAGATGGGATTTGGAACCGCTTCAAGCTTCAAGCTCATGAGAAGCTGCCTGCGCAGCAACGCTCGCATGTGCTTGTCCTAGGAGATGGGTCTTTTACTTCCGCACTACAAGTTCTCTACACTCCGCACAGACTAATCCCTACCGTGCATCAAAGGCCGAGCCGTCAGGAGTCGTTGCTTGTACAATGTCCATCCCCGGCACATCGTCTAAGATGGCAAGCACTTAGAAAAATATGCCACATAGGCAAGAAACGGGAAACTGGGACTCTTCCACATGATGTTCTGCCAAGGGCTTAGAGGCAGCGGTTCCAAGATCCAAAGGAAGAATGCTTTCTCACACTCCTTTGCCGGAATGAACAGAGATTCCAAGATCTGTTCCATATTGATCAACTCGGCTAACTCTCTTGTCGCTTCCCGAAGCATTGTACGCGACAGCACTCTTGAACCGACACACAATAAATTGGACCAAAGTCATGGATCCGTACTAGCGGAAGCTCCAACGTGACGCTCAGAGTGGACCTTCTTTTCGTGGCGTACACGGGCGTCGTTTCGAGCAAAATGTTTACCGCAGCCTTGGATTGAGCAAGACTAAAGTCGTCCACCGGTATGCGTAAGCTTGTGTCGGTTGTGATCGCTTCTATCGGTACCCAGGTAGTGCACTGTTTGCAATCGAAACGCTTCTTATGGACGGCGTCGGCGTGCTTCCTGTAATACGTATTGGCGAAAGAATCGAACGGCAATGATCATACTTACCTTCGGTCTCTCTTTCGGTCAAAGCTCCGGTCACACGAGTCACATTTGTATCGGCTGTCTCTTGGACGCTGTTCTGTGACTGTGGAGCCATCTTCCTTCAGATCTGTCTCAGAGATACTCGGATGATCTGAGTCAGAAACAGGGGTAAGCCCAGAGACGGATGGAGTAGACGAGGTAGCAAAAAGGTGTTGATCCAGTAGCCGAGGCTTGATCGAGCTTTGCAAAGAATCAAAACCGATCCCAGTTTCTTGGATGACAGGATATATATGCTGTCAGATAGCACATTCGACATCAGGGACGCCACTCTGGTATGGTAAAACGGGGTAGTCTCTCGTCGCGATGTTAAAAGGGTTGGAAAGGTTGGCGGTATCTTGCAGGTGATAGTCTTGTGATGAATGGAATGAATTTTCACCGTCGTAGGGGTTCGTCGCCGGCTCATCTAAACAAGACGCGCGATCATAACTACTGATGCTGTTTCACGCCCAGGCTTACTGCGCTGGGCGACGCAGCCTTGGATATGTGAGGTTGAAAGTGGCTAGGTCAAAATGCCTAGCCAGTCTCCTTGCTTGTCACGTGTATGGAGTATGGAGTAAACGGTACCTGCCCGCACTCCGATGAGGAGGCAGACAAGGTTGGTGGTCTTCAATGAAGAGGGAAGAAGGGGGAAGAGGAGTTGAATGTGCATCCATCGCCGCAGTTTAAATTTAGCCGCTGTGTGGCTGGAAAGCACCAGCATCGGGCTGAGACCAAGGCAAGGCCAACGAAAGTCATGTGGTGGCATTCCAAAATTCTCTTTTAAACGATTGGCTACCCACGCTTTTCCAGACTTGCACCACAATAATCCTATCCGGGGACGATTTATCCCGAGCATCAGTGGCCTGGGTAAACAGGACCAGATCAGAAGTTGAGCCACGATCGAGTCAGAGGATGCGACATCAGGTATATTGACTCTACAGCCTCGCGGGCAAGTAGACACTCATTTCAAATCCATTGGTGAAAGGAAGGGTCATACTTTTGAAGCCACTTTCCGGGTCTCGTAAATATGCGAGCAGGTCCGCATAGCCCTCAGCTCCTGAGATTGTATTGTCCGCGAGCACTACCGCACCATGTCGAAGGCGAGGTTGTACAGTCTTGAGAGTGGGGAGAGCCAATGGCGCCCAGACTAGGGTAGAGTTTTGTCGTGTTAGAACGACGAGCCTGCTCGAAAAAGGCTACGAGAGACATTTTGTCTCAAGTCAGGTGGAAGACTGGAAGGAATACACTTACTATCGAGCAGAAGAAGATCAATTTCTTTTGGCAAGTCGACTTTCAGCGTCTCGAGCAGATCGCCTTCTCTGAGGTCGATCTCTTTCTCAACGACTTCACCACACTGTCTCCAATACTCCCGTGCCACGGCGGCCTTTGCCTTCTCTTTCTCTGTTGCAATAACCACCCCGTTCTTCCCCGTCGCGGCCTTTGTCTTGGAGGTAGCCAGTGCTAAATAGATGGTGCTGACGCCGAAGCTGGTCCCAGCCTCAACAACGTTCGTCGCGCCCATCGCGTTGATCAGTGAATACGTGAACTGACATTTGTCTTCATCCAGCGCAATGAACTTGTCGCTCATCAATTTGTCGAACTGCATGCGCGGACCCCCGCTGGCGGATTGCTCTTCGAGGTAGTCTAGGACATTGGAAGAGAACACCTTGCCGGTTTTGGATATTGCAGCTTCCTGCTTCAGAGACTCAGCGTGCAGTTTGCTCAGGAGCGAAAGAATGTGCGGTGCTGCTTCAACCGGTGATGGGCCCGGCATGATGATTTCGTTCTTGGGTGATTGGGTTGATGCGTTGGCTTGGAGAATAGAATGAAGGAATGAATGATGTGAGTCACGACAGCCTCGGCCCGTTCGCTGCATATAATACATAAGCCAGCATAGTGTTGGAGTCATAATGCTGGAGTCGAAGATACGGAGCACCGAGTTAATTGATTGGATAGTGGTACGAACTCTATGGTAACACTAGCTAACTTCGTGTAGTTTAGTCAACATCCTCCACTCGCACTCTATCTTGAAAATGGTTCCGATATTCCGAAATACTCAGCGACGAATGTTGACCTCTCCAAAGTCCATTTCTGTTTTCAGACCCGAGCATCCCGCCTACCCACTGCTGTCTGATCTTGAGTCAGGACTAAGTCATACTGAGCTGTGGCCGAGCTATCCTGGGGCCTGGATTGGCGACCCCTAAGGCGTGCCCTGAGTCTGTAAACTTCACAACCAAACAAATTGCGATGATGATTTCTGGCTGGGCACGACACATCCCGCACATTACGTACTCCGTACTCGCTTATACAATACCCGAGAGAGAGAGATCTGGAAAACGTCATTCCAGACAAGATAGCAGAGCTTGACCATCGTCTATACGCAAAAACATGTCCGTGGAATATTTATCAACAAGGAGCCCTTTGTCCAAAACTTGGTGGGATGTCGATAGTTTAAAGAGTCAACTCAGAATCGCGATAAATTACGATGATTTTCAGTATCCCACCATACAAAGACTGGCTCACAGAACGCAATCTGATGGAAGAACGGGGATGCGCAGAAATACAGAGGCCCGAGCTTAGGAAAGCAGTCTTTATTATGTGTCCTGAGATCCAATAGCTTGGAATTCCTGCGCTGTCAGTTCGTCTCCAATCAGGCATGAGTGTTCCGGACGCGGCACTTGCCATGATTCGACGCGCCTGTCTTGCATTGACCACCATCTTAGATAGATGACGTCTATGTCTGCCCACATCACCCACTCTTATACCCTCAACTTGACCTCTGCCGGCCGATTCTCACTTCACTTGATCCTCCCATATATGCGATGACCAAAAACCTCCCCGACGAAAGAGTGGTGTACCTCGCACTGAAGGATTTCTTCAAAGGAGCTGACGGGCAGATCCGCAAGGCCAAAAAGGTGCGCGAGGTCGTCCAGAAGGCGCAACATAACATCGATGTGAGAGATTTGATACAGCAACACAATTTTGAGAGCATCTGCAGCGTAACAAAAGCACTTTTGGAACAGCAGATCTTTGAGTCCACTCTGAAGGCGAAAATTCGCTTCCCTGAAGTTTTCGAGATTTCTCCCGCCCAGAGCGCTGAACGGTCGGCTTCAGAGGTAGAAGCAGCAAGATTGGAGGCCGACGCCGTCAAGTCCGCTTCCGCAGGTCATAATAAGGATATCGCCACCGGAGACAGCGACGATGTCCACTGGTCTAGCGATAAGGTGTCGCGGGCTGGTTGGTGGCTTTCGCGCAATGCTCGAGGTTTGAAAGCTAATATTGCTGTAGATCTCTACGAGCTGAGAACATCATCTCGCAAGCGGCCATTCCCCCACACCAGCGTCCAAGTTCCATCTCTCTATCCAGTATATCTGCCATATCAAACACAGCACCGGTTGCTATTAAAGGTACAGGGCATTCTCGAAGATGCCTGTTACAATTTTGGGTCACGAGAAATGAAGGACGTCATTGAAAAAGAAGGCTGGGATTGTGCAGAGTGTGTTGAATTGAATGTTTGGGCCCGAACCCTTCTTGCCAATAAGAATATCTTTCAGCTTGAGGACCTAGAAAGTTTGGGACAACAATTCTCTGAGCTCACTAGCTCCATTAATCACCTCCGTCACACAGTAGTGCATCGACTTCGGATCAATGCCAACGGACTGGAGCGCTTTCTGGCGGATGCGGAAGCTCTGGCGCAATTACTTCACGATGACTACAACACAAGATCCTTAGCACGACTCCGAAGAGAAGCCCAAATCAGCATCGATGAACTAAAACGGAACAAAGATCTTCTTGAGTCGAGGCTGAATTCGAAGCTCAAAAAAATATCGGATCAGAGGATTGAAATAGATCAACTTGAACAGTCAGTTGTGGACGAGATGTTGAAGGCCGACAAAGAGTATCAACTCCTGGCTGGCAGTAATTTAGACGAAGCCATTCAGGCCTATGATACAGCGATGCAAAGTCCAGCGCCGACAGACACAGTTTCGAGACCTGAAAGCGATTTTGAGGATGATCCCGCATGATGGCTCTCACAGTCTGGTTTGTGAGAGCGCACGAGAATGCAAGGCATCGGGAATAGAATCGCAACGAGGTCTGAATATCATGCCAACCTAATGCAGCCCACAAGGTGAGATTGTATAGAGTAGGGACGCGATCTAGAAGGGCATTCTATATCGTCGACATTAGAAGAGTGTTGAAGGTGGTACCGATCAGTCTGCTGCTGACGTTCGGTCTTGCACGCTAGAACTCGTGAGAGGAAGGATGAGGAATTCTTGTCGCCATACACATTTAGTAGATAAGCTTAAAAATATTCGCGTCTCGCATAATGCTCTTGAATGTCGTCCTATTATTGAATTGATCAGGTGCCCTTGTTCTACCACAATAGACGCTGGCATGTTCAAGAACCTCTTCCAGTGCGCACCCTCCAGTGTCGCCCGATGTGATCTCGAACGTCACAAATGTATCCGCGCTTCCCTAGCTTTCGACAGCTAACAATAGGTCCAGGAGATTGCTGCTGCACAACTTGCGCAGATCGCTAACATGACCACAGGCAGCGAGCTTAAAGTCTTCCCTCTGTGAAGTACCACAAAGCTTGAGTGAGATTGGAAAGAGAAATCATCAGTCTAGAGAAAGTTCTGAGTGTAGTGATATTGTTGCTTCACTACTGCTTCTAACGATGGGTTTTCGAGTTACTAATTGAGGCTTTAAGCCGCTTCTATTCGATGAGTCACTAAAGAAGGAGGCAGAGGATCGTCACACTGTTTTGCAGCGTATTGTGCAAAATCGAACTTTTGCGGCTTCATCGAACAATGATACGGTGATAGTGTTAGGTATAATGCCGGCATCTACAATCCTTGCACCGGATGATGCCACGTTCGTGCTTGTCAATGTATGAGCCGAAAGTCTTATCGCAATTTCGACACGTGTCATACATCTCGAGCAACGAGAGCGTGCGATCTCTATCTGTTGTCATTTCTTTCGTTCTCTGTTTCAGAGTCTCAATGGTTTTTTGCGAAGTCTGCAGAGTTTCCTCAAGGGCTCGCTGCGTTTCAATGACCTCTTCAACCCGGCAAGCGTGTTCGTGAGCCTGCCGTGTCAACATCTTCCAGGCAATGGGTTCGTGCTGCAGGAGAAGCAAGGTTAACTGCCCTTCTTGTGGGAGATGTTCAGAGTTCTCCAAACAGAGCTCGAGGATTTGGGCTCTTAGTCCACTGTCACCATCACCACCATTATTAAATACTCGAGAAAATGGTTCGAGAAAAGCATCGGCTCTGAAGTTTTTCTTGACCTCGGCTGTGAATCTGCTGGTCGCATCTTGCATAAGCTCGCTGATGTCCAGGTATTTGGCCAATAGGTAAACCTCTGCATGAACCATGATCTGCTCCGACTGCTGGCGGAGGGATTCAGTCTCGTTTCCGTCAGTTTCTGGCACCCCTTCATCGCCAGATATATCGGTGTCATCGCCGGCAACGATTTCGGATTCGTTCGTTGAAGGGTCGTATTCTCCAGTGTACACGAATTCGAGGACTTTCTCGAAGATGTCGGCATTCTCTTCGGCGAGTGTCCCGCGACCTTCGAGTCCTTCCTGTAGGTGTATCGATTAGTCCGTTCCACGTAGCATGAATTTCTCACCTTGAAATTACCTGCACATAGACGGTGCAGCACAGTTGACTGAGGACAGACAATACTGCGATGAATTTTGAAATCTCTTTCATCCACTGTTAGGATGAAATCAGAAAACTCGCCTGTTTGTAGGAGATGCTTTTGTCGCTCTGCGAACGACATCTTGAAAAAGACCTTGACAATCAAGTCAATGGTAGAGATCAGCATCGCTTAAGTACGCATATAAACGAAAACTAATCCACAGCGTCACTCTAAGTAGGAACAGCGCAGAGGTCAGCCAGCGAATGCCATCGATCAGGCTGGTTTACACACATCATATGCTGACCAATGAGGTGGCTCCACGTCGAGCCTTCAGGCCACAATACGAAGCTCTTCTGGGCTCACTTTGTTCTGAATACTCTTCAGTTCTGCCTCAAAACAACATAAATAGGTTGATGAATGTCCATGCGCTGCTTACGTACTCCTGACGAATGAACCGCCGAGAAAGTACGAGGAAACGAGGTAGAAGAGAGTGATTTATCTGAGAAGCCCTGACAAACTGGCAATATCCGATATGGGCGACTACGTACCTTTAGCTGATTTAGTCGACGAACCGTTCAAAAAACCAGACACTGCTTGGATCTTACAGCTCAGAATCACCAGCGTCCGGTGCGATGGTGTCGTGGATCTGTCTCACATTCCGTTGACCAAGCCTGACATCCACGCCGCAAAATAGTGATTAATCATGTTTAGGCACGAACATAGATTTTGGAGAGGCAAACAATGCCTCCTGAGTATAGTGGTCTCCTGTATCCTCAAATAATAGTCTAAAATAGCCATAGAAAACTGTCTTCCACTCTTTAGGCTCGCTGTTTGTTTCCCTCGAAGTGACGATGCCACAAACGCCAAAATCACCTCCGCTCATCAGGTATATAGAGCAATTCTATCGTCATCGATTATCTGGTTTCATGTTACCGAGCTCTTTCGCAAGTTGTTTCTCAACTGCATCAAGGAGGATTGACCACTCCCACGTTGGCTTTCTTCGCCACACAAAGTCAAAATGCACGTACAGTTGCGCCCTGGGGTTTGTATATCACTTTTCACCCATGCAATGGTTGCATGTACCTCTTCTTCGCTGTAGCCCAGTACTCTTGTAAATAAAGCTAGCGTATAAGGCTCAACGGATCTATGAAATGGGCTTTCCAGAACAATCCAAGTCCTTTATTATTCTGTCCTTTTGCCTATGGGCTGATAGGGACCTATCACAGTTTAGTATAGGTTTGGAGGTTGGGAGGAATCAACATTCCTACGTACCTCTTACCCATCTCTTCGTGTACATCGATAAATCCCACCTCGTCATGTACTCCTTTAGGCGGCCAATCTCAGTTGCTTTTCCCATCCGTTCTAGTCCAGATTCCAAGTTTTCAGGCCAATCTACTAGGCATGGCACATATCTCATCCCATTGTCATCTGAGCAGATTTGGCCTCGAAAATCCTGGGTTTCGAGGATCACTCCGGTGCGAAGACGATTAAAAGCCTGCAGTTCCGGTCAGTTACACTGCCAAGTATTGCTCTACCATGATTATAGTCGAAATGTTCCGCGGCAGGATAGGTCCATTCGCTTTCGGTATCATCGACATAAAACTTGTAGTTCAGTACAGATGAGGCCAGTGATGTGGTATATTGAGATCCTGTTGCTGACTCGCCGCTTGCCGAGTCGATTTCACTCGGATCAGACTTTCCAAAGAGGTCAATGACGCGCGGAACAACGGTGCAATATTTACACTTACATCCGGAACCAGTGCTGGGACGTGAAATCCCGTATCTTGGGCGTCAGGTGCACTACTTGATACACCGACAGGTTCAATGGGTGGAGCGATTGCCACACAGCCAGCTCTAGTTGGCGAAACTGCTCGAAGAGGTTGGAATCTCTTTAAGCTCGTTGGAGGTTGCTTAATAAGACGAAGTTCTTACCGGACTCTAAGCAGCTAAAGATTCGGACTTGGGCACGACACACACGGTCTGCGATGGATGGATCTCGACCTCGCACAGAACTTGCATTTGGATATTTAACTTTGGCTAAGGTACGTTCCCGTTCCCGGCCGTTGGACTGTGGGCTTGCTTTAAGTTTAAGAGCATCCTGCAAAGTTGCTCAAGCACGGTGTGCATTGATTTTGATAACCGATGCATGGGTATCGACCTTTGCTGAGACTTCGTACATTCACATCATTCCAGCCTGATTCCCTGACGGCTCGTGTACGAAAGCTAAACCAAGTACATAGTCAGCATAGCGAAATTGTGCTGGATCTATTTGGCAATTTAGGTGAGTCAATGGGGATGATGATTGAGATCTTGGTCTCTTGTCACTCTAGGGTCTCTGGTCTGGTTTATATACGGACTAACCAGGCAATTGATCTCCAGGAGGCCCTTTTCCATGATATGAAGCATTCGAAAAGCTGAAGCAGTGGTGCTCTCATCGATCGATCAGCGAGGCATTCTGGCCAGCGCCACAGTTTTAGTATCCAAAGTATGCTAGCGCTTCTAGTGCCTGCAGACTTAGTACGCGCTAGTCTAGTCTTGGCGCCAACAAATTGTCCAGAAGCATTTTGTCGTGCACCTTGCGTTAGCTTCAACGATGCTTAAGGAGGTAGTTGGGGTGGGCGGAAAGAGCTACTAATAGGGAGAACAAACATCGTCATCATAACATCCATTTGACGGGCCACGGAAGATGTGGGCAATATGGTGCTAACCATTGGCATGATCACGTGACTGCGTTGCAGGGACCAGCGTGGAAGCAGCCGTCTCGCTCGATCGCCACTGGCGGCTCCTGCCGCGAAAGTACAAGTACGTCACCCCTAGGCTTCAACCAGGATTTTAAAATATTGGCGCAGCTTGTCGAGCAGTCGGCCTCACCAGCCACGTATCCCGATTGCCCCAATTGCGTATGCCTATAGCCATTCATTCCTTTCTCTATATCCCGTTTCTGACGTACTGCATCATGGCTATGTTCAATTTATAGCAACTTGATGTCTGAGCTCATTCGTTTCCCAACCCCCCCGACCCTCATTCACTTCCATTGACCCGCGTACGGGAGACCGCCATCGCGACAGCACCAGCACCATTACCACCATCACCACCAAACCAGCCCACCAGCACCATGTCGAGATTCCGTAAATGGGCTCTGTCCTCCCCTCCTGCCGAATGGGCCCTCAATCAGCTCCGTGATCTCCTGGTGGGCGCCCTCCGGCAGGGTCCAGTCCCGAAACATGTCTCTTTCGTTATGGATGGAAATCGCCGTTTCGCGAAGAACCACAGGATGGAGACCATCGAGGGCCATAATTTAGGATTTGAAGCTCTGGCCAAGGTACGCGACGCAACAACTTCCTCCCCGGGTGGATAGGGAAAAACTGACAATTAAACATAGATCCTTGAGGTCTGCTACAAAGCTGGCGTGACTCATGTTACCATTTACGCTTTCAGTATCGAGAATTTCAAACGGTCCAAATACGAAGTCGATGCTCTTATGGAGATGGCAAAGATTAAGCTTAAGCAGCTCGTTCAACATGGCGATCTCCTCGACCGCTACGGCGCATGCATTCGCATCCTCGGTCAAAGAGAACTGATCAAGCCTGATGTACTCGAAGCAGTCGATCGAGCGGTGGAAATGACATCTAAGAATGGGAATTGCGTTCTAAACATCTGCTTTCCTTACACGAGCAGGGAGGAAATAACGTCAGCTATTCGTGACACAGTTCAGGAGTACAGCCAGCCCTTACCTCAGTCCGCTCTAGACAAGGAGCGAAACAGTCCCTTTAAAGCGGAGCGAATAGCGAATACAATTCGATCTCAACACCTTTCGGAATACCCAAATTTGAGCCCGACATACCTGCACCCATCTGTGTCTGATCTTCAATCTCCATCATCAAGCACCACTTCCCTCTCATCCCTTTCCCAAGCACATTCAGAGCACGACTCGTCTAGTGTTTCCACATCGACCACCTTACATCATGACGATACTTCACCACCATCCAGATTGTCTATGAAACCCACATCCTCGAAGCCGAAGTACCCTTCTCCAGAGCTCATCACGCCTCAAACCATTTCCTCCCATATGTACACGTCATCCGATCCACCCATCGATCTATTGATCCGGACTAGCGGTGTCAGCCGACTTTCGGATTTCATGCTGTGGCAGTGCCACGAGACAACTCAAATCGTCTTTCTCGATGTCTTATGGCCGGATTTTGACTTGTGGAGTTTTCTCCCTGTACTATGGGAGTGGCAATGGAGACAGAGAAAGACTCTGGGAGATGCAGCCAATAGAGATGATGGAGCAGAAAATGAAAAAGACAGTCGAAAGAAGCTCCCTGAAAGCACGTCGACCAACACTGCGAGGAGTATCCGCGGCACTGGGAAGGATACTATACTTGCGCGTGCATCTCCTTAGTTTTACACGCAGCTGTAGACACAATAAAGAATAAATGCGTGCGCAAGCACTACAATCTGTTTGAAATTGCACGCTCGAGCATCAGAGAACTTCTAGACTCTTCCTTTCCATGTCCAAATCTTGTCTTGCAGAACTTGGGTGTTGATCTTCATCTGCTATGCACTACAATACGGACCGCTATCCGTTGGGATTCAGGGGTCAGGGATACTTACTCCGGATCCTTTACCCATTGAGGACACTGCCGCCTTGGTTTACTAAGTCTGGAGCTCCACATGGGATTCGACACCCGTAACTGATGGTCCTGGCTCGCAACATCCCCGAAATTTATGTAGACTTTCACAGGGTCCTGGTGGTGCATTGCATGGACCTCAATTCACAATTAATAATGACGGCAGTGCAGTGATATAACATCCATATCTTATTTCGATATAAATTCGAGCATATTTCCAAACCCTTGACCCATTGACAGACGTTCAGAACTACGCAGATAACCTTTAAAATATTCAGAGTAAAGGTTCCCTTGACAATATGGCACTCGCTGGCAAGAACGTATTCCTGATCGGACCAGGATTCATTGGCCGGGAGGTCCTCGACCTTCTCCTGGCCGAGGGGTACTCTGTAACCGCCCTGGTGCGAAGAGAATCCTCCGCAAAGGAGCTTGAACAGGACGGCGCGAAAACGGTCTTGGGAGGTCTCGACGACAGCGAGATCATCACCAAGCACACCATCGCCAGCGACATCGTGATCCACACGGCCACTGCCGACCACTTGCCATCGGTGCAGGCCGTCATCCAGGGCGTCGAGGACCGTGCCAAGGACAACAAGAAGACGATCTTCATCCACACCAGCGGCACGAGTCTCCTCAGCGACGACGCGAAGGGCCAATTCAAGGGCGAAAAAATCTACTCCGACAACAGACAGGACGAGATCGATGCCCTTCCCGACACGGCCTCACACCGTTTGATCGATCTGGCGATTTTACGCGCGGCCAAACGACTGACTTCAGCCGGCGCAAGGCTCGCGATCATGACTCCGCCCCTGATCTACGGCAAGAGCCCGAAATACAACCGCCTGTCCATCCAGCTGCCGACCTTGACGCGCTTCGCCCTCAAGCACGGCTATGCCGGCCAGGTAGGGAAAGGCGCGTCTGTGTGGTCGCAGATCCACGTCATTGATCTCGCCAGGGCATACATCACTCTGCTGCATTGGCTTGAGGCCGCAAGTGCCGACGAGATCCTGAAGTTCCCGTATTTCTTCTGCGAGAATGGGCATGAAGCTGCGTGGGCTGATGCCGTCGCGGTGATCGGGAAGGCCCTCCACGCTGCTGGAAGAATCGAGTCGCCAGTGCCCAAAACGATCCCCGAGGATCTGTACGGTGACCTTTTCGGAAAAGCAAGCGCGTGGGTTGTCGCGTCGAACTCAAGGAGCCGGGCGGCTAAATTGCGGGAGTTCGGTTGGGAGCCGAAAGAAAAGGGCCTGTTTGAGTCCCTGGTCGAGGACGAGATTCCTCTCATTCTGCAGGAAACGGGCGAGTTCAACGGATATGGACGTCCCGTGGTATCTGGAGCCATCGCGTAAATACATGGTGGCTCTGCATAGCATTAATTACCATGATTTGCGATGTATATAAATCTATAGTCTCGATCTAACCTCAGGCTTCTTGCCTGTTGTCTGCTCTTCCAGCTCTGCTAGCAAAACTCCCTCTGCGACGTCATCGCCATCCTCGCTGTCCAATTCGATGGCCCATTTAATCGTACCAGCCCTGGGACTACGAATCTCCAGTTCCATCTTCATCTGTTTGACAAATGCAATCACCTGATTCTCCTGTATCTCATCGCCCTCATCCACAAGAATTTCTACCAATTTGCCGCTGATGGGTAAGACAACGTGACTCTTGTCGTTCGGATCGCCGCGCCGGTGCGTCGAAGCTGTGGCATCGGCAGAAGACGTGGTGCTCGCGATCGTCATCTTGTATGACTGTGGTTGGGTGCCGGAGGCGGTGTACGAGACGTCTGCGATCAATGCCTCGGGAAATTCGTTTCTCATTATCCTTTCGATGCTAAAATGGGACGGTGGAGGTTTAGTTTCTGACTGTGAGTCCTTGGCTTCTAAGGTCACTGTCCACGCATCTCCTTTTCTGAAGGTTGTTCCCGAGCTAGCAATTGTTGAAGACTGATTGTTGTCTAATGATAACGCTGGTAGTGTGGAGTCAACCTGTTCAATAGTTTGACCGATAAGCTCTCCATCAGAAACAAGTTTTTCGATATCGTTCTCCAGCCATGTGGTGGCTGCTTCACCCAACGCAAAAGCTTTGCCCCTTACGATAGCTCGAAGGAGGTTGAGATTTGTCTTGACGCCGACAATCTTCGTCTCTGAAAGTGCTCGCTTCGCTTTTGCAACTGCACCCTCGAAAGTAGAAGCAGTCACGATGATCTTGGCCATCATATTGTCGAAGTCAGTCCCAACAACTCCTCCCTTCGAGAGATGGCTGTCAACTCGGATGCCATTACCAGAGGGGAAGTGAACGTCCGAGACCTTCCCAATGCTGAGTGCAAAATTGGAAGCAGGATCTTCGGCACAGAGCCTCAATTGAATGGAAAAGGATGGAGGTGCTTTATCAGCCTCCCACCATTCACCCAGTCGCAGGTCCTCGGAATCCTGCAGGCCTTGTGCAAACAACAACTGCTCTTTCACAATGTCCACACCTGTAATGGATTCGGTGATTGTGTGCTCGACTTGTAACCTGGGGTTGATCTCCAGAAAGAAGAACTTCCTGGTCTTGACATTGACCAGGTATTCCCACGTCCCAAGGCCGAGATATTTCAATTGCCGAGCCATCCGAATGGCAGAGTCTATGACTTTTGCAATAACGTTCCGTCGTCGTACTGGTGCAGGGGCGACCTCAACGATCTTCTGGAAGCGACGTTGAACACTGCAATCTCGTTCCCAGAGATGCCTGACACCCCCCTTGCCATTTCCGAGAATCTGGACTTCGATGTGCTTGTAGCCATCTACAGCGGCTTGTTCTGCGAAGACAGTCTTACTCGGCGATTCGGAGATGCATCTCTGCACGGCATTGTCTAGGCTATCTTGGCTTTTCACAAGCCGTATGCCTCGACCACCACCCCCATCCACAGCTTTAATCATCAGTGGATAACTCACTTGGCCGGCGAATGTGCGAACATCATGAACATTCCCGGTCGGCTTGTTCATGGCCTTCAAGACTGGAACCTCACACTCCATCGCCAGTGCCTTGGCTTTCAACTTATCCCCCGTCCTCTCGAGTACTTCCCACCCAGGTCCTACAACCAAGCAATTTGCTTCGGTCCACATTCTGTGACTGAATTCGGCGCTCTCGCTGAGAAACCCATAGCCCGGATGCACAGCGTCGATCTTGTGCTCTTTGACAAGGCCAACGAGGTAATCGATGTCCATGTACGAGGATGGTGAAGGGAGTTTGATGGCTTGATCCGGCCGACCCAAACTGATATGCGTGTTGTCATTTTCGGTGTAGACGGCAACCGTTGTCAACGGATTTGGCAGCTCTTGACATGATTGCAGGATGCGAATTGCTATTTCTCCCCGGTTCACAATCAGGATGCGTGATATTGGTCGTTGGATTGGTGGCATCCTTGATTAAGAAGTATGACTGATGCGTACTATCCGCTGTTACAAGCTTGATGATGTATCCGCCCAAGCCTCTTGTCTCTAGACCGACCTCAGGCAGCAGGAAGTGACGGGAAATTCAGACACCTTCGTGGGATGCTCAAGAAGACCTCATCACCAGAATACCACCCTCTTTACAAACGCGGGATGTCATGAAGGATTGTGAAAAAGTCTGTCGGCTAAAGACAGGTTGATTGTATGCATGGAGATCTGCCTCCAAGGTTCCTCCCCACGTTTATTCTTAACAGGCGTACAACCTCGGCAAGTTGAGGAGGCTCCTGCTTCTCCATCTAGTGATTCGCCCTGCCGCTTTTGGCGTTTCTAAAGTACCGAGGCTGTCGATCACGTGGAAGGCGTCCCAAGGCTAGCATTTCTTCAGCCCTACAGTCACGGAGGATTTTTCCACAACCACCTCCCTATCACCTTAAATGAAGACTCTTAAGTTTGAGGACAACGGAGCTATCTCTCCATTAAAATGGCCGAGAATAGACTAAATAGCTTTTCTTCTACGTAGATTACAATGTTCTCGGACACGCACTCCCTAGGCACAACTGTCCTGTTGCGAACCCACAGTGCTTCGATTGATGACACAATTGAAACCGATGATGGGACATCACTCCCGCAGGAGCATTCATCAGTAGCACTCAGTACGGCTCGCACGAAACCCTCACAGCCGGTCTAGTAAACTACTTGTTGGCTTTCAAACAAGTACTATCTCGGCCACACTCTCGGTCATATCGCGCTAATGCCAACCCACTCGGCCGAAACCACTCATATATGATGAACGAGTGGCCATCGATCCTGTATTGAATGAGCTAGGATGTGGGAGTTTTACAATTGCTAACATTCGACCACGGGATTTACTCCAACCTATAAACATTACGAGACCTGCAGTGCACAAGATGCTGTCAGGTTCATTGGCTGTGGTCAGCCAGACTGGCAACTCTCTCAGCTTCTTTGACCTTGCGACAGGAAAGAGGACGGTACATATGACAGATTTGATCTCAGAGCCCCACGAATTGCTAGTCGATAATAAAACGGGTTTGCTATATCTCACTCACTCATACCGCCACGGTCACTTCTGGGTTCATGGGGATAACGGCTTCGAAATCAGTGTCATCGACCCAAGACAAAAGGAAATGGTAGATGTAATTAACATCAAACCGGCATTGGCTCCTCATGGCATGGCGCTGGATGAGTCTCGGGACATTTTATGGTGCACTTATGAAGAGCATGAGACCGCTTCGTCTGGAGGGCTGGTCGGTATTGACCTGAGCACGAGGAAGGTGATCAAACGAGTTGAAAGCTCGACAAAGACGCACTGGTTCGTTATGACACCTGACGGGAAAAAGGCCTTTACCTGTAACAAGACTGCGCCTTTCATTTCGATCCTGGACCTGGAGAACGAGCGCATGGTTGGGAAGATTGACGCCATGGGAACGGAGGAGTGCTCGATATCCTTAGATGGCACGCGTGCCTTTTTCCCAACTCCAGGCACTCAATTCGGGAAACACCACAGCCATCCACGAGTTCTGGTTATCGATACCGTCACTAATGCGGTTGTCGAGACGATCTCACTAGAGTTTGGTGCTCAATCCGTGCATGTAACTGGGAACGGAAGGTTAATGGTTGGCGAATATCGTTTTAACACTGATGCTCCCACGGGTGACTTGGGCAAGGCTGTCCTAGAAGGTCAACTCACGGTCTACGACGGCCGAACCCACCAGCTCTGCGGCAGGGCTCCGATCGGTAAAATGCCGCTGACGATGCATTCCTCCCCAGATGGCAAGCTCGGTTTTGTGGCAAATATCTTTTCCGGCTCCGTGACTGTGGTAGATCTTGTGAACTTTACAGTTTTAAGGACCTTGATCGTCGACACCAAGGTGAAAGAAATATCCAAGATGTGTCAGGGTGCACATGGCATGGTCTATTTTCCCTAGAACCCACAATTGGCCTCTCTATAGTGCCTCTGGAACATTCAGAATTAACTAGTGTTGCTTCGGGAGTGGCATACTACGTAATATTCTTCAGCTATATTACAATATACGAGCGGAAAAAGTAGACATAGCTTCTCGTGGAATACATTAGGAAAAGAGATCTTAGCGCCTACTTATATAGTAGCTTAAGGTTGCCGAACCAAGTCTCCAAGGATCGACCGGCTAACATTCGCAACATCTCCTCGGGATTCTAGTTAGAACACCCAAGATGTGGTTAAGGCCGCCATTAGTGAAGTCGTGAAGGCTAATCACTTGAAACACTTCATAGTTGTTATTAGTTTATCGGCTTACTCGTCGTCACAACAGTCCTGGGCCCTACTTCACGAGCACTCTCACCCCTTTGGATCCAAGCCCAGCATTCGCTGTTACAAGGTCATGCTCGAGAGCCACATCCTCAACTGTCGTCTTAAAAAGTGTAAAGTCAAGTCTTCGAATCAATGTAGCCAGAACTAACCGGAGCTCGGTATATGCAAGACTAGTATGTAGATGAAGTTAGTACAACGCCGAGGTGCGGAGGTTCGCAGACTAACGTAATCCCGGCACATTGTCTAGATCCTTTAGAAAAGCTCAAAAGGTAATCATCCAACTTCGGATTCTCTATCCATCGTTCGGGGATAAATTCGTAGGGCTTGTAGAAGAGTTGATGGTTATGATGAACGAGAATGCTCGACATCCCCACTGGAGTGCCGGGAGGTACCGTCCAGTCTCCGACGCGGATCGGATGTGTCGGCGAAATACGCTGCAGGCGAGAGCTAACCCCGACCCCAAGCCGAAGACCTTCCTGGATGACGGCATTGTGCGACATTGTTAATCACTAAACGAACGGATTAGGACGGCAGTACTTATCAGAAAAGGGAGACGGTCCACGACGGCGATGGTGGGCGTGGCCGAAATGTTGGGGAATTCGGTCAGCAGCTCTTGTTTGAGCTTATTGTATGCGCACGGATTGGCGATCAAATAGTACATTGTTGTCGTGAGAACTAATGGTTACGGTCTGAGCAACACGAAGGATGTAGCGGACGAGGTTTGACGCCTTACTCCAAGCCGTGGTCTCTGTCCCTGCCCCGATCACCAGAAATCCCTCCTGCCATAGTCGATCAGGATGCTTCTCACTCGCTGGGGCGTTTGCGTTGAGAAGTGCATGGAAGATTGTTGGATGGTCCTTGGTCTTGAAATTCGTATTTTGACCGGTCCAAAGTTCGTTCACTTGGATCTTGATATCCTGTGCAAATAGAATAAGTGAGTAAAAGAGCCTGAGGGACTCCTTTTAACTGGGAAGAGCCTTGCCTTGCGCAATTGAAGTAGTTGGCCGATTCGCGGATCCAACCATTTGACAATGGTGCTATCATCATCAGCGCACCTTCACTACATGGGATGTATTCACATTACATGGGCAATATATCCATGATATTGAGAACCCAGGGGAAATGCTTGACGTAGTGGACCGAAATCATCAAACCCTGAAGACAATTGCGTAGGTTTGGAAGAAAGTCGGCATTCTGTAAGAAGCCGTAGCTGCGGGCAAACGAATATTCCATGATGACATCTGTGGCGAAACAGCTAAATGCATCGTTTAAGACTACGGGCTGGTCTGTACCTGCATAGCTATTCAGACGGAGATAAAGCTGCTCGGCAAGCCCAACGATGACGGGCTCGAGACTGGAAACAGAGCGTTTGGAGAAGAAAGGGGCAATTGCTGCACGACGGACTCTATGCAAGCCATGGGAAGGTGTGGTCAAGGAAGCCTGGTCGCCAACGTGTCAGTAGGCAATAGTTGTAGAGAGACAGCCGGGGGATCCAGACTTCGGGAATACTGTAATACGTATTAGTAATTAAGAGGGTGAAGCCCGGTGCCCGCTTACCCGAACTGTTGCGTGTAGAAGTTGTATTTATCTCTGACTTTGCCCGGCCCAGCATAAATATCCTGAATGCATTTAGGATCATTCACGTGGATCTCATCCGACCCAATTCGAACCACGGGGCCTAGATAAGAAAGAAACGTTATTGTTAGCCAGTGAGATTAGGGTCTGAGGCGCACCGTATTTAGCGTGCATATAGGCGATCTTTCGAAAATATTGGCCTTGCTTGATGGCATCATAGTAAAACTCGGGCAAACCTGACATGGCAACTGTCTTGGGACCGGGAAACCGCGCTAGAGGATGGAAAAATAAACGATAGACAGCTTTAGAAAGCAAATAAGCAATAGATATTGTCAATGGACCAACCAGCCAAATTTGCTGCATCCTCACAGTTCGTCTGAAGTGGTAGCACGATGGAATACTATGCTTAGGTTGTCGCCTTGGGACTGAGCATGCAGCGGCAGCCTATATCGAGTTTTGACGGGCCTCAGGTGACGCATCAGAGCCCTACTGCAGCGAACGGGATAGAAGCCGCGACATATATCCCTTGCGACGAGTGTATATCCCTTGCGACGTCGGTACGGGATCCTTTTCAACATCGGAGTTTATTGGATTCCTGAGGAATTCAAATTCCAACCGCGCAAGGGATATGGGGACCACAAGCTCAGCACCGAGAACAAACAAGTGATGAATGGCACCTAGGGGCCAGGTATATATATCAGTATCAGTTTGGACCATCCACCTGTTTATCTCAGTGTGTTCCATTCATTACACTAGCTGACATGGCCTCTCGACGCCACCAGTTGAACCTGAATCCTTTGGTCTCAGATCAGGAAAGAGAGCACTTGTTTTCCATCGACTTCGCTTACAATTACCTCCCCACAGACCTTCATCTTCACCGTGCTCCAAAAATCAAGTTCGAAAATCCTTTCAGTGACGAAATCCGCGAAAATCGGCGACATAGTATTTCCCTGTTCCCATCATCAACCAGCCTTCCTTGGCACAGTGGGCTCGATGCAGCTCGCCAGAACAAGCACTGGAAGGTCAATCTGGAATACACTAGCCAGCTACTACATCTGTGTGCCGAAGACACCAGCCTCAACAACTCTCTTAATGCCAACGGCACCATGCTGGCAGATTTCGCCCGGAAGGAACTAGAAACGTCTTCATACGAACGTTACAGCAGGTTCACAACCTACATGTTTCCAGAGGCTGATGAAGTCAGAACGGCGCTCTTGGCGCAAGCTGTTCTCCTCATCGTTATCTTTGACGGTATGATGTGTAATGTTAGACTGATTATTCTAGAGCTGACATGGTGGGAAAGATACCTGGGAAGCTGTAGGCATCGAAAATGTGAGTCTCATCAAGAAGTCGGGTCTGACTAACTCGTGCTAAATGAACATCCGGTAGATCAAACTTATTCAAGATGATTTTATCAAACAGGTGCAGGGGACCAACCCCTCCGCCACATCCCATACACCGCTGCAAAAGCGCATTTGGGAGATCTCTCGCGACTTGGAGAGAAACGGTGGGAAGGATATAATAACCACCTTGACTCAATTCTTCCAGCACTCCCCGCCCACCACCGACTTTACCGACGTTCGAGAGTACCTAGAATATCGTTATGAAGATGTTGCCATGCCGTAAGTACACTTGACAACAGAAGTGATCGGATTGGTCCTGAGGTGTGATCCTTAATAGATTCTGTTATGCCTGCGCGAAATATTCCCTCGGATCCGATATTGATATCAGCAATCCGAAATTAAAAAAATATCTCCATCTTATCGGGGCTCACGTGTCGATCGCCAATGACATCGGATCTTATGAGAAGGAGTACCAAGATTTCAAGGACGGGAAAGTAAAGCACTTGATCAACATCGTTGCTGTTGTGGGGAAGATCAACCGCACGGACTCCGACGCAGCTAAGGCAGCCTGCTACGCCCTTCAGCTACAGGTGGAGCAAGACATAGCTGTAGAATTGGAGTTGATGGAGCGGGACGATGAACTTACTTTTGTTGAATGGGATTTCATAGATGCTCTTTTAGCCATGGCTGCGGGGAATATTTTCACCTCTATTGTGATATCTAGGTACGGCGGAGAAGCTGCCCGAATTGGCACCTGATTCTTTCTCATGGGAGAGAGAGAAATGCGTCCCTTCACGCTCGATCGAATTACTTCAGTCTGTGTGCCAATGATCAGCTCATTCCATACCTCCTTCGACCTCACAATATAAACGCCTGCTGGAAGCACCATCCTGTCAACCCTGGTCTTCATGTACTTCTGAGGAACTTTTCAGAAGCACGCGAGAAACGTGAGACTCCTGATGTTTTTCAGCCCAAGTTTAATGTCCGCAAAGCGTTTAAAGAGATCTCTGCAAGCTCCAGAGGTCAGCGCGTCAAGTCGCTCTGACCGCACACCCTGACGACGGGCGCCAGGCTGCTGCCTTCCAACGCCACTATTCGTCCGCTTCTACTGAAGGTTTCCTTGATCAAGTAGCAGTATAGTGCATCTCTACAGGCTAGCTAGCTTTATAGATTAATATTAATATCAAGATAGGTCCTGTCTTAAGCTACCACTAAATTAATGTATTAGTAAACTAAGCTGGTCCGTTTTAGGGCAACTTTTCGAAGTGAGTTTAGAGTATATATCTCTTTGCTGACAAGTACGGCGAAGACGGAACCCTGATTTATCCACGAATGTTACCAGGCGTTGAAGAGCTAGCGTCGTCGATTTTTCGGTCCGATCAGATGGTTTGATATTCGCTAGACTAGTACCGCTAATTATGTAGTCTTCAACAATACAAGTTGGGATCCATCAACCCTGACCCTCAAGGATGTTGCGTACAGCCAAGAAATAGAACCCTACCGGATTTCCAATTTCAGTCCAGACCTCTCCGCCTTTGACGCTAGGGGGGGTGTAATGGGAAGTGGATATAATCATTCCTAAGACGGTACGAGGGACTCGTCAGACTATATAGTATCCTAAGTACGTGCTAGACTAGCGCCTAGGCGCTCCGGGTTCGCTTCGGATAGCGTTCGAACAGCTCTCGGAGCTAGTTCGGATACGGCGAAGCGATATTGTAGACCACGGTCTTTACAATCGCTCGGCATTAATAATAACAGGGGGGAAGGTCCTCACATACCATGGACAAGCGGATGGGGTCACCAACTCATTCAATAGTGCAAGATACTACGAGTTGGTGGCCGCCAACATGTCATTGTCACCCTCGGCCCTCGATGAGTTTTATCGTTTCTTCCGCATCAGCGGTATGGTCCACTGTCGGCGCGTGGGGTGTCGCGAACAGGTACGTCGGCTGGCCACTGGCGGCCAACACACCCGAGAACAACGTACTACTTACCATGATCAAATGGGTGGAGGAAGGCGAGGCGCCCGAATCGATTACGGGCAACGGCTACGGAAATTTAACTACCACGGGTAGGGTGGTGATGTCGCGGAAGTACTAGTCAAGTCTTCGCGCTAATAATTCGCTATTGGGCTCTCAATACGACACGCCCGAAGTCCTCACAGCCGGTCCAGTAAACCACTTGTTGGCTCTGAAGAAGTACCATGGCACCACAAGGGACAGTAATCCCACAAAGAAGATCGGACTCCAATTGAAGGTATTCGCGGTTACATGGGGATGTTCTGGGAGAGCAAGAAGGGGAAGCGTGAATACTGGTAACCTGAGTGTTAGCAGGAATTACGCAGTGGAAGGAGAGGAGTTTGAAGCAACTTACTGGTCCAGGCACAAGCAACAAGTCTAATGGGTCTCGACCATTTTCCAAGGCTAAAAGGCCCGGGGACATAGTCTGGGTTGTCTTCATAGAGGCATCTATTGACACATTCAGTTTGCCGGAACCCTTTCTTGTGATGGCCATCTTTGTTAATGAATTCCTACTCACCTCATCAAGACAGGCATCAGATACGTTACGGCTCCTGCCAAAGATGAACCGGAGAAGAAAGCATGCAAGGCAGTAGAAGAACCCAAGGATATCAGACCAATCAAAGCAAACACTGTCGAAAGCGCGATGGTCGCATTGATGGGTGTCTTTGTGACCGAGTTGACATGACTCAACCACTTCGACATCGGCAAGGCTCCGTCTCGTGCGTACGCAAAGTATATCCTGGTGCCAGCTGTATTGATGACGAAGACTACGCCAAAATTCGAGACAACAGTACACGCCCATAGAAATTTCGTAAAGGTGCCGTTTCCCATCGATAGTTGCATGATTGCACCCAGAGGTTGCCCGAGAGGAGACGCGAAAATTGCATCAATATCTGTCGCGACGTAAGCTAACACCACATTGAAGATGTAGCCGAGAACGGCGACAGCAGCGCAAGAGATCCACATCGCTCGAGGCACAGCAGTGGAAGCGTTTTCTGTTTCTTCAGCCAGATGGGCTACGAGACGGCTATTAGTACTATTCCGCAGAAATTCAGTGTATATATAAGTTGCATGACCTACCGGTGGAGTCGTAACCACTGATGCACCATAGTGGTACCAAGAAAGTCATGAGGAAAACCAGTGATTTGCTGGACCATTCAGTCTGGTTATATGACGATGTGAACATCGCCTTTGCTGAGTTCGTGCGGCCATTCTTGCTTGCGTATACAGGCAAAGCCACGAGGATCACGAAGAATGTGATCGTGCCCAACCAGACGAAAATGTTGCTGAGCTGGCCCAAAATCTTACTAGGTAAGATCATTGCCCAAGCGCAACTAGATCCCAGTTAGACACTATTAAAAGCAGATGTGTGATCAAGGAATTTACAGGATGACGCATGCTAGGTATATCTGGGGCACCTGTTAGTTAACCACCGAAACTAGCTGTCTGATAGCTCAAGGTGACGTACCAGATACACCTGCCAGTCTGTCGGTGCAAACTCGGGATGATACATGACCACCAGTGCTTGGATCATGTTCGCTTGGGTCATGAAGAACGACCCTCCAGCAAGTGACGCTGACAGCACCATACACCAGGCCTATATATTTCGTCAATTTTGTCTCAAAAGCGAGAAGCCAGGGCCCAGTGCAATCTTACTGTCACCCAACAGGCGAATCTTTTCATCTTCGGAGGTGCGGTTCGATAGGTCCTAGGTAATCAGTTAAGTTCGCCAATCCTCTGCGGCATGACGAACCAGTAATATCTATATCGAAGTTAGGTTTTTTGCTCAAGGCAGGGATGCATCAGGGGGAAGGTTTACAAGCCACCAGCAGTTGGCATCGCAGAGCTCAGCTCTGCTAGCGCAAACACCTCGAACATGATGAAGAAGACGGCAATGAGCCAACCCCAAGTCATTGGCAGAAGACCGAGAAAACCCAAACTATACCAGATCGTGCCTAAAAACTGTCAGTCAAACTTCACGACATAGATAAGAAATATCGAAATGGAGAAGTTACCTCCAAGACTAGGGAGAAGACCAAGGCCAGTCAAACAAAACGCGGTCATGGACCAGAAGTTAAAGCCTCTTTTCATCTGCTGTTCGTAGCCCATTTCCTGCAGCATCGCGTCTTCATTCGTTTGTTTGAGTATAGTTCCATTCTCGACCGATACCACCGGAGACGGCGCCCGCTTGATGTCTTCTTTCTTTGCCATATCGCTCCAATGTTTCCGTGACAAGCGACAGCCTTCAGAGAATCAGGAATGAATCGAGACAGACGTCTTCGAGTAACGGTGGCCTTGCACGGTGGAAATCCTCATCGTTATAGAAGTTCTAGAAGAGGTCGTTGGGCCTGATCTATCCCGAGAGCTTATCATCGACACTTATCGCGAACTCAGAAAGTTGGGGTACCACTGGGTTTCCAGGGCCTGATAAGTGAAGGGGCTCCACTAAAGTGCTAACGTAGATAAGACCGCGCACGTTTGCTCTTGGTTGCTAAAAGGTATACGGCGTATTCTGATTAGATTGGGTGCTCAAGGTATGCATCTACGGCAGCGCCAAACGGTGTCGCGCGGGCTCCGTGAGATTGGGCATACGCTAGTGGCCCCACGAGGCTCGAGTTTTATATCACTAGCTAAATTCGGATAACGTAGTTGTCAGAAATAGCAAGCAACAGGAGCAGCAATGAAACGAATCGAAGACCCAGTAATGCATGTGTCTGCCCGAGATTGTATAGCCAGCAAATATTAGATGAGTTAGTTTTGCCCAATCCAGCCCAGAAGGTGAGCGCGGCCGCTTCCAGCAAACTATGGCTACTACAGATCAGTCCACCACCACGCCTGCGCGTATGCCTGTCTGGGCACAAAAGCTACTCAAACGGCCTCTCGTCGAGATCCGCCGCGGCATATCCTTCGGCTACGACGCCCCAAAAGAGGAGTCCTCTGTCGTTGCTCTGACGGTCCCATCTGGCAGATATATCGACATCCGATGGCAGCTGAACCCAACCGCTACTGCCATCAGGGGCAGCGTCAAGCAATCCTCAAGCTTCCCAGGCTACGCCACCGCTGGGATGTCGTACACACGGATGCCGCGTGGCACAGAGTCTTGCCCCGCTTACGAGAGCACCATCCACGTGCAATGGGAGCATTCGATCGACTCGAGCAGAGCGTTTGACACCGATGGCGCAGATGTGTATCTCCTGTCTAATGGGGATACCATGGAGATCGGTTACATGATGCTACGCGGCGAGTGGAGGATGTTCAAGGAGTATTGGCTTGATGGCGCTACTAGGGAGACTGACACGGCATACGTTGCAATGGAGCTGGTTGGCTTAGCTACGGACAATGGCGTGAGTGAGGAAGGGGAGAAAGGGGAGAAAGGGGAGAAGGGGATGGTGATCCGCGTTGGGAGCTATTGTCAGGGGATATTTCAGAATACCGAGGAGCTGTGGGTTGAAAGGTGGAAAGTGGACGAAACGGGGGATTGGAAAATGGATAGTCGAAGCACGAGAAGAGAGGACGCGACATTGCCGTGTCAATGGGCAACAGGGGAGGAGCGGAAGCTGGGTGATTCCACCGAGCTGGGTAACCGCGTGTGGAGGGTTGTTGAGACTTCGTATGTCTCATAGCTTTCGCTACATATCTTAGACTAGAATAGAACAAAATGGATTCTATCGTGCTTTTTGATCCTCTAACGACCTTACTTCATCAAGGATTCACACCTCTCAGCACATATTCGGTGAGAGCAACCGCGCCGAAAATCCCACCCTCCTCGCAAATGCTCTCGACGGCGGCGTCATGAAGGTGCGGCTGCCCGGCGGCCGAAGCATCCGACACAAGAAGGCAATCGAAGCCCATATCATTTGCATCTCTCATTGTGCCAGTCACACACACATCGGTAGTGACACCGCACAGCACTAAGTTCTTAACGCCGCGGTTATCTAAGAGCAACTTGAGGTCGGTATGCTGGAAGGCACTCCTGCCAGGCTTGTCGATAATAGGTTCTCCAGTCAAGGGCGTCAGCTCCGGAATAATCTCGTGCCCTTTCTCGCCTCGAACCAGCAAGCGACCAAGTGGGCCTTGGTCTCCTATCCCAATGCCGCTCAGGTTGTTGCGGCTTCGTTTCTGTTCGCGAGATGATAGTGTTGAGAGGTCGGCGCGGTGGCCTTCGCGCGTGTGGTAGACAGGGAACTTGTGTGCTCTGAATGCCTGCAGCATTGATTGGATATTCGGTATTAGTGCCCGTGTCGTTTCAATTGAGAGACCCTGTGCATCGAGATATCCGCCTGGAGAGCAGAAGTCCATTTGCATGTCTACTATGATCAGTGCAGTGGTTTCCGGTCCAATGTTTGAGGTGTATGGCCAACGATATGGATGTGCTTGTATTGTGTTCTGATTGGGTAGGAGGCTAGCCATGTTGAGGATGGACCTATGGTTGATTCTTGGAGTGGTGGCAAGATGTTTGGCTTGGACTAGAACGTGACGAGATTGTGATTACTGTATTTAGGCGATGACAGAATGGTGGTGGTGAACGCGAGATCTTGGTTGAAGTTTCAGCATAACATTGGAGCTCAACGCCGCTTATGATTTCCCTGAAATCCTGGATCTACGCTTCTGCAGAGTCTAGATAGCTGGCAGCCGCGGACCGCCGACAATCAATTCATTTCAACTGCCGTTATCGTCGACGCTGCCGCTATCCACAGGCCTATGTGGCGGGCGACAAGGCGAAATTCAGGCTGGAAACAGCTGTCTGTGATTTCCAACTGACCTGATTAAATGAACGAGACTTCGGGGAGTTAGCCCGCTGGTCGGTACCAGGCGGCCACAAGGCAGGGTGCTTGCTAAAGAGGCGCCATAGAGAATATCACCCGAGAGTTTGGGGCGTTCCAGGGCCGGGAAGGCTTGACGAAGCTGGTTTGGACCCCCAATTGCGGCAAACATGCATTTAGAGTGGTCGCCGAGTATGGACGAAAACTAGCAGTGGGGCAGAAACTATACATAGATTGCTCGCTTGAAAGCAGCAAATTTAACTTGAGAGAAATCGTGTTGACGAAGCTGCATGTGCTTCGGGAACATGCCCTCGAGATCTGTTAGAAGTTGTTGTACGGACTGATCAGATCTCCAGTATCCATAATGTTCATGATATCAAAGATTTGTAAATCGCCTTGACAGAGACCAGAAGACATCGATACAGCTTCTTGAGGAGGATATGGAGCTTGTAGGCCGATGGTGCGGCTCAATCGGTGGTCGACAGAGTCTATATTTAGTGGTTGCACATGATGTCCTCTTCCGATGCTAAAATCGGGAAAGGAGTTACGGTCAGACTGTACATGATGCTGACTAGAAGTCTTGGCTTGCACAAATGCTCGGGTCAGGTTGTTGAGGGCCTGACATAGCTGAAAGAGGTTTTCCACCCGGTTGGATAGCTTGCGGCAAGGCTCGAGAGACTTCCCGAATTGCTCAATAAGCTGGATGTCCTCGAGGTTTCCTTGCTCGATCGAACTGCAAAAGAGAACGATAAAGGGGATGAATGGGCAGAAGAGAATGATCCTGTTCATTGATAGCGTAATTAGTTGTGCATGCTATGAGAGCCAAACATTCTGCAGGTCTTGGCTTACCAGTGCATGTAGGTAGCCAATACGTCTGTGTTGGTTCCAAGGCTACACACGTGCTTAAGATGTGCATGTATCGCTTTCCTCGCTATCTTAATGCATTCCGAGGCGAGAATACCAGAGCCGTGTGGCACATCACCAGACGACTCTGGTGGAAGTGCTCGATACACAAGAGTCAGGGTCGAGAGGTTGGATAGCTCGTCGAATCTTAGCAAGGCCAATTCCACTTCAGTGTTTGCATGGGTGCTAGTCTGGCCTATTCGCTGCATTCGATTTTTCAACTTTGCCCGTTCAGCCAACAGAATGTTAGCACATCTGCGGGCGGATTGCTCGCGATGTTCTACTGGGCTTTTTAGGGCGGCGGGGCTGTAAAGTTCCTCATATATCCGGCCCTGTACTTCAGCTTGCGCCAGCCAACACTGTATCGTTTCCCGGTAGATTTCGAACTCTCCGAGGTGCTGCAGAGTACGGTTGAGTGTGATCTCATAGTCCTGGAGGACAGCAGGCCGACCCAGTCGCAGGGCCAACGCTCTATCCAAAATGTAAGCTATCCAAAACAGCGTTGCACGGCTATTTTTAGCCACGTCGTCCTCCCCAGGGAGTAGGGAGTTTCGCTGATACCCAAGACTGATGCAGAGTTGGCATGCCGTGGAATTCAGCATCCACGCAAGCGACGGGTCGGACGCCTGGACCGCATAGCTGGCACCCAAAACCAGCGCGATCACATTTTCCTTCCGCGCTGGAAGTATGAAACTCATAATATGGAGTGTTGCTTCAATATTGCGTTGGCAGATGTTGCAATAGTCCCGGAGAGTCGCTTTCGTGCCCTCATCTCCAGATTTGTTCGCCTCAATAAGCTTGCCCTGGAAGATAAAATACAACGCTACATTGACAATAATGAAAGTCGAGGTAGAGAACTGTTCTGTGGCAAAGTAGACTTGTCGGCATTGGTCTGTGAAGAATTCAATACTTGTTACGGCACAAATTAACTCAAAGGTAGGAGGCAGCTGATGCTTGAGTTCGCGGAGCAGTTGAAGAGCTGCGTCTAGTGGGGGCATTCCCAAACATCGTAAGTCCTGTGAACTGGGTTTTCCGTCATTGATGAAATTGCGATCCTTGCCAGGTCTGTGCATTGTGAGGATCTGGTGTAACGCTGACAAGGCATCGTGAACCCTGGGTCCGGCTTCGCCTAAGGCGCTTCGATCGATGGTTTGCTTCGCAAATGATCCTGCGAAGGCTGCATGGGCCCTGACAGAGCTGTCACCCTCGAACGCGTGCTCATGATCTTTCGTGTTGGAAGCAGGGGATCGACATCCAAGTGAATGATCGCCACCGACTGCTGGACTTGTATCGCCATCAATTGTGACCTCTTCTGACGTGAAGTTGGAAGTTGCTGGGAAAGGACATGTATGTGTTTGGGAGTCAGCCGACCGATGCATTTGCGACAGATTGGCAAGAGCTTTCTCTATCCGGACAAGCCCGTGCTCGATTCCGTCAATCTTCCTCTCATATTGAGCAGAGATCAGGATGCGCTGGCGATGTTCTCTGGGCTTGTGAGCGGAGCTCGTGAATGAACAGTGTAGGTTGACTGTTGAACATTGTGCACACGGAATCTGGCGGTCGCAACGAATCTTTCTGGAGCGACAATGGTCGCAGGCTCGGCTTGCCCCGCCTATACCAGCCGTCCGTTCCAGTGGTAGCATCGGCCGGGCAGGGGCAGCCTCTGAGTGAGCTGCGTTTATGCTCAAGAACCTGTGGTACTGACGGAGACTGCGAGCCACACTGAGAGCAGACTAGGTGTCAACCGCAATGTAAGGCTACTAGACCGGTTGCTCCATGAGTCCTTGGGGTGAACGCAAACTTTAGCGCCATTGCTGGTACATAGCCCGTACTCCATACAGAGTGTGCTGTAGATAAGAAATTCGCCGATGCCGATAAGAGCCGTATCTCTTGCGCAACGCCCGTGATTGGGTAGAAACTAGAAGGGTATCCTATAAGCAGGCTGTGAGCCTTAGGTGCGATGTCTTCAAGCTTCGTTGTACCAGGTTGCTTCGTTGCCCAGTTTCCTCGAGAGGAAGGCAAAGCTGTTGTGAAGCTGAGGTTCGCAGACGGGGCTAGACACCTCACCCACACCTGGGTGCCTGTGGGTGCCTGGTAGACTACATTTGCTTACATAATTTTGTCGGGCTACTTAAGCCGTTTCTCGGCAAGGCTGACTCCTCTCTACCCTCCACTGCGGCAGCCTTACAGTTGCAGATTTTAAACGAGATCTTTCACGTAAGCGATACAAACTCTCCAGGCAACCATTGTTCATCTCAAGATTGATCCATACCATACAGCATTCAGGCAGAAGAGGTCCGCATTGGACGGCCGGGAAACCAGTGACATGTCCCGCTCTGATTAAATCTGGTCTCCAAACAAGTGCTGCCATGCTAATATTATGAGAATACTTCTTGCGACTGATATCTCAATGGAGCGATATGCTCGTCTGACTCATTGGCCAGTAGTCAATACTTCTAGTGATGTTCAGCAACGGACTTGACCGGTGCCCCGCGGGTGATCCACTGCTTATCATAATCGGTGGCCGCGGCACACCGAGCTGGCTCGGCGGATGTCCTCGAGCGATCGTGCTGAGCCAAACAATCACATCAATGACCCGAAATGGACCAATAGCGATTGTACAAATTGCCATGGGAATGCTCGGGCTATCGCAGGCCTCTCCCCTCATCATCGAGTTGTCGTCGTCATGGCGCTCCCTGTGATAGACTTTGGGCCTTTCCTCGACATATCGAGTTCGTTGCAACAAAAACATCACGTCGCACTCGAAATCGACAAGGCATGCCGCGAAGTGGGCTTCTTCTATCTCAAGAACCATGGCGTCCCTTCCGATCTGGTCGCCGACCTACTTACCAAGACGCGAGAGGTCTTCGAGACATCCACGCCAGAGGAGAAGGAATGTCTGGCAATGAAAGGGTCGGATGAGGGAGGTGATAGCGCTCGAGGATGGTTGAAGGTCAAGAATGAGTCGGGATCTCACGAAGTTCGTGGAAACATGTCCTTTTGAAGGCCGCGGTTCTTAATGTCGCAGGCTATCGATTTCTTCCGGCCTGTCTCGCCACGAGAGCCGCCATTTATGACAGGAATGGGTCCAAACCTGTGGCCGTCGACACCAGCAGACTTTCGCACGACCGCCGAGTCTTACATATCTCACCTTGAAAAGCTAGGGACAGCGGTCATGCAGGCCATTGCCATTGGCCTGTCTATTGACGAGCGGATCTTCCTCGACCGCATCGACAAAGCATTCTGGAATCTTCGAATTCTCGGCTATGAAGGCAGAACCAGCAAGAAAGAAACGGCTGCGGGCATTGGACAGCATACAGGCAAGATTTTAACTCCCATTGACACCTTTTCCGGACCGTGTTGCTGACCGATAGCGTCAGACTTCGGCATCCTCACCTTTCTCCTGACTGACTCGACCAAGAACTCCTTGCAGGTGCTCAGCAAGACCGGCGAATGGATCTGGGCTGACCCCATCGAGGTGAGAACATCCTGCCCACGTACCAGCCAGAAACCAAGACTCGCCAAACTGAAAATGAAATCAAAATAGGGATGTTACGTATGCAACATTGGCGACATGCTTCACGAATGGACCCGGGGCGCGTACAAGTCGACTCTACATCGAGTCTGCCACAACAACGACTCCCTACGCATATCGATTCCCTTTTTCTTCGACCCGAACCTGGATGCTTTCATCTCGCCAGTGGTCCCGTCTGCCGAGGGAACGCTAGATGAAAAAGAAGGTATTCGGTATCAAGAGAAGTTCGTCAGGTCGCTCGACTACCCGCTTTGGCGTGATCCCATGGCGAAAGTGGTGCCAGCCGTGTAGTTACTTAAAGTAGTGGAGGTGTGAAGGAGGATACATGCTGTTGTTACTCATAATGTAGGTTATTCGCGACTCAAGAGTACACAATGTCATCCATTACTCCCGTATACTTTCTACCTATTAGTCAAGGGCAGAAATTCTTGAACGAGTTTCCCTTTCGGATAATCAGCCCGATTGCAGTGCTGGACAGCCGAGGTTCAATCCAACGTTGGGGAAACAGGGGATGTACCTGAGCGGGCACGATCACCCCATATCAACCCGAACATATTCCAATATTGAAGCAAGTTTGGAGTATTATTATCACCCACTACCAAACCAGGCAAGCCAGTTTACGCGCATTGAAAAACGAAGCGACTCATTGATCGCAGCATTCGCAGCATTGATGATACAGAGGCCTGAGGCCCAGGAAAGGGGACAATTTCTACTTACAAGGCTAGAAGCCAAGTTGAGGGGGGGTGGAAAGAACCTCACTTGCGTCATTGGGGTAACACTATTTAGCTCACTAGACACATCCATGATCAACAACCCGAAGCACAGAACACAAGCCCCGGAAAAAACTGGAACTACGACATAGATCGTCACCCCCAACGAAAGACATCCGAACGAAGCGTGCGTTCCACGACTCTGTTCTGTTCTGTTCCTGAAAGCCCTCCACAGATATATGGGACTGTACAGCACAAACCACGAAAGATAGAAGATAAAAAGATGGGGAATAAGAAAAACACAACGGTGAACGACCCGGTCTACGCACAGCCAACATCAGCGGAATCCCAGCCTAATTCTAACGCTCGGAATGCGGGCGCCGAGGATGGGAGGAATGCTGCAGAAAGTAGTGGCGCTATCATGAAGGATGACCCTGTTTATTCTCAATCTGCCGCTTCCAGCACGACGGTGAACGACCCAGTCTACGCACAGCCAACATCGGCGGAATCCAAGCCTGATTCTAAGGCTGGTGCTGAGTCTTCGCGGAGCGAGAGGAACAGTGGCGCGATCAAGGATGACCCTGTTTATTCTCAATCTACTGCTGTCGCTGCTACTACTGCCACTACCACTACTAGCACGATGGTGAGCGACCCGGTATACGCGCAAGCAATCTCTGCGCCAGCGTCTCCGGACGTGGCTGCGGCTACGGCTTCGAAGCCAGGGCAAGGGGCAATTGCGGCAGCGACGGATCCGGTGTATTCCCAATCTGCTACTGTGGACAACAATGGCGGCGGCAGGAATAGGTCTTCTAGCACCGAGACCCAGGTTAATGACCCGGTTTATTCGCAGATTCAATCTGCTCCTGCTGCTCCAGGTACGCAAATAAGACCAGGATACGGCGATATTGCGCCAGAAGACGACCCTGTGTATTCCCAAACCCAGACACAGGCAGCATCGAGACTAAAGCAGCTCAGCTCGCAAGTGTCACCTGCAGCATCTCCCGGACCAGCAGAGACTCACCAAGCGAACAGCAAACGGACGCGGAAATCCAAGCGGACATCGAAATCTTCCTCGTCGCTAGGCGCATCCACGGATCTCCCCGACGACTACTCCGACATCCTTGCACACATCTCGAAACTACAGAGCATCGCCTCCACGCCTAATCCCAATAACAGGGGCTACATCCGCCAAAAGACAGCGGGGAAGTTGTGGGCACGGGAGAGAATCTCGCAGCTTGTGGACGAAGGCACATGGCGCGAATTCGGCTCCGTGACGGGGACGGTCAGCTGGAAGAAAGACGCGAGCAATCCGCAGCGCGAGCATATCGAGAACTTCACGCCCTCGAACAACCCACAGGGATTCGGCCGCATCACGTGCCCTCGGACAGGTCAGAGACGTCAAATCTACCTGACAGCCGACGATTTCAGTATCCGATCTGGTCATGCCGATGGCGCCACAATGGGGAAGACACTTCATGGTGAAAGCTTGGCGCTCAAGCTCAAGGTTCCCGTGGTGAAGCTCGTGGACGGCTCCAGCGGCGGCGGGAGCGTGAGTACAATCATGAGCAATGGGTACTCATATGTCCCTCACGTTCTGCTGTTCTCCACGGTGATCAAGCAGTTGAACGCGGGGATCCCCAACCTAGGGGCCGTGGTCGGACCCGCGATTGGCTTGGGAGCCGCGCGAGTGGTAAGCACACATTTCTCTGTGATGGCGGCTGATATTGGATCTCTGTTCAACGCGGGACCCAAGGTTGTGGAGGGAGCTACCTTTGAAGAAGGCCTTAGTTTCGCCGACCTTGGCGGTCCATATGTCCACTGCACGAACGGGACGATCGACAATCTCGCACAGAACGAGTCTGAATGTTTCGATCAGATCCGCACCGTGTTAGGCTACCTTCCAGACTGTGGTGAGCTACAAGCCCCGCCGGTAAGTGCTTGCAAGGACGACGTCAACCGCGAAGACATCGCCCTACGCAGTATCATCCCCAGGAGGAAGGCACGTATGTACAACCCCTACACAATCATCGAAAGTGTAGTGGATCGTGGTTCCTGGTTCGAAATTGGAAGACTCTGGGGCCGGACGGGCATCACTGGGCTTGCGAGGCTCGGTGGTCGTCCTGTGGGAGTCTTGAGTCTCAACTGTGAAGTCAACAGTGGCGCACTGGACGCTCTTGGTAGTCAGAAGTTGATGAAGATGATCAAGTTCTGTGATGTGTTCAATCTGCCCATTCTGCAGTTTGTCGACGTCCGTAAGTACTTAACCCAGAGTCACTCATTCTATGCTCCAACATTCTTTTATCTGCGGGAACACAAGCAAGCTGACTCATTTCCCGGTTCACCAGCTGGCTATGCAATCGGCACAGTGGCCGAACGCACCGCAACCATGAAATGGGGCATTGAGCTAGCCAAAGCCTACTATTCCACCACAACCCCCATATTCTCTGTGATCACACGACGCGTGTACGGCGTGGCTGGTGGAGTGATGCTCGACAGCCGAGACCCCATCATGCGCATAGCCTGGCCTTCTGGGAATTGGGGGTCGCTTCCTCTCGATGGTGGGATTGAGGTGGGCCACCGCCACGAATTGAAAGTGATACGGGAGAAAGAGGGTGAGGAGGGATGGAAGAGACGGTACAAGGAACTCGAAGACGAGTATATACGACTCATGAACCCAGTGAGGACGGCGCAGCCGTATAATATCGAGGAGATCGTGGATCCCAAGGATACGAGGAAGATTGCGTGTTGGTGGACGAAAGAGATGTATGGGGTGGTGATGCAGGAGAGGCTTGCTGCTCGGACGAGCGGTAAGCTTCATGCCGTGTTCACCTAGATAGATGGACAGGCTTTTTGGGCGTTGCCTTCAATCCAGGAGATTGCGGCGTCAACTCTTCCTTCTCTGCTCTTGTTCATGTTCACTCTCGAACTCCTCGAACGCACTTGGACGTTTCTTCAAGACGTCTATTTTACCAATTCCCTGTAAAGTGAGGTAGACGTCTGTGCCCCACCCGTACATACTCTGTAAAGAAATGCCGCCACCGAAGTATTCGGCATAAGCCCGGCCCAGAGGTAATCCATAGCCCAGCCCAGCTATCGAGCTTTGATTGCTCCCACTCGCTGCGATTGCATTCAAGCCCTCGGAATTGCCATTGCCACCGTGGGCAGCCATGTCTGCTTCTTCCTTGTTGAAGGTTGTGAAGCTGTAGCTCCAGATGTTAGGCAGGGCCTCTGGCGAAATGCCACCTCCTCTGTCACGGATACGGAGGGTGATGCAAGGAGCCGCGGTCTTCAATGGAGGCATATCGCCATCGTTGCCAAAACAGTATTCCACAAGCCCATCCTGGGAAAAATCATGGTTTGTGTTTTCCGTAACAGACAATTTCTTGAGTGCATCTAACTTGGTGGTCGTGACATCCGGCGCCGAGGCGATGGTTACTTCGATGGGATAGGCTTCATTACCGGACTCGATGGTTGCACGGAAGGCGTTTTTGAGGAGCTCGGTGATGATGTACTCAATGTGCATGGGAATATGTGCGAACTCGGCGTCAACTTCACCATTGATGACCAGAGACGGGCGAATGCCATATTTCAGCTCGCAGACCTCGGCGACGAATGACTCACATTGTCGGATGATACTGGCCGGTTGAAGAGCGAGGTCGATCACGCCAACATGGTTTGGATCTGGAGGCTGCTGAGCAGCTTCACCTGTACTCGCCATGTGTAGAGCGAGGTGCTGTTCGGCGACGAGGCGCGTGCCAATCCGTGCACGAAGATGTTGGTCAAGGAACTTGGTGACCTCCGCCGAGTCGATGTATTTTCTGCATTGGAGGAATCCCTGAGCAAGGGTGGGAATGGTATTGGAGTGAGTGCGGACCAAATCGGCCATGATTTCAGTGAACTTCATCTCGTCCTCTATCGTGGTGATGGACCTCTTGTAGAAGGGCTCAAGTGAGGAGAGCGAGTGTAGGTAGTTATTATAGATCTTGGAAACATTGGGATTCGCCACGACAATAAAGGGGAGGTTGCGAAGAGCTTGAATCCGGTGGGCCAAGCGGGCAGGGAGACGAGAGAGGGTAAAGTTGGCTGAGGAGAGAAGAGCATCGTCAGGAAGCGGTGGTTTGCCATGTCTATCAAGGACTTATTAGTCTTGATGCTCGGACGTGCATGAGAGCAGAGCAGACAACGTACTTGACAAGGTCAGCGAGGGTCAAGGGCTGTCGAGGCTTTGCGGCCAAACGATATATTTCTTCATCAGAAATCGAAGCGCTTGAAGGAGGGTGAGACCACTCAGCGGGAGGGAATGATTGCTGAGTCGTCTCCGAGGAGGCCCACCTCCGCGTTATGGAGGCGAGACTGCGCCGCTGAACTGGGCACTTCCACATGGTGACTGCAGGCTGGCATGGGTACAGACGGGCGGAATGATTCCCGATGGAGAGTTGAGTATATATTGGCTCTTACCCTTTGGTATGCAGCTCGTGAGTTGCGTGTGGTATGGACGGAGTATTCAATGACTCGAAAAGTGCTCGTTGTTGCTTCTCCGCACTCTCAACCATGGGAATAACTGTCTAAGCCATCTACGGTTAGTGGTTCTCCGTCCAAACATGGTATAGCTCTATCTCTCCATCTCGCCGCTTTATCAGGCAAGACTGGATATAAATGCTCCCTACAATTAGAGGGTTCGGATCACTTTCTGCGACTCCATTTGGACAACTAGTAATTACGGGTAACTTGCAACCTATCTTAGGTATGTCATATGTGAACGCCTAGCACGTTCTTCCACAAAAGGCAAGTAAGCCGAACAGGGCGCTAAACCCTTTCCTTCGGATTCGGTTTAGATCAGCCTCTATCAACACCAAGGCCTACGTTAACCACCAACAAAGTGTCGCAACTGCGGCACGCAACAACCACGGCAAGTCGACGGTTGTAACAGAGTTTCTCCACTCGCTTTAAGTAACAGGGTCTCTCTGGAGATAATGCTTAGCGACGCTTAACGGCGAACATTATGTCCGTCGTCTCGTTTCGCACGCTCAACAATATGACAGTTGATGAAGTACCCTGTGCTGGGACCTCGGTAAATGCGCTCTGAATGATGGGTATGTAGGAGCTGCGGAGCCACAGGTAGGGAGGTAGGTAGGTATGTAGGTTCGTCTGGGGTCTGGGATCCTGGAGATAAGGAGCGTTTCGCGCCCTGCGATGCCGAATACGTGGGCTGGAAGAGATTTTAGTGCAGCAGGTCGGTGGACAGCGCGGAGAGATAAAAGGGGGAATGAGAATCCATTGTCTTCTGTTCGGATCCCAACTGCTGGAGAGAGCAATCTGCTTTGGACGTGACCTACTTCTGCTTCAGCAACAAACACACATTTAGTGCATACAAGCCTCCCTCCATTCCACTCATCCACGATGGCGCCAGTCCACCCGGTCACGCGCCCCAGCACCCACCGCGCACTCCGGCAAGACTCGCGCTTCGAGCCTTTATCCGTGCAAACCGTGGCCATCCCAGACGTGATCCCAGGCTCTGCTATCCTGCGCGTCGAAGTAGCCGGCATCCTCAGCTACATGCGAGAGATCTACAACGGGGACCGCGCGTACCCGTATCCGGTCCCTCTCACCGCGGGGTCCGGCGCCATCGGCCGCGTCGTCGCACTAGGCCCCGACGCAACGAGGCTCACGCTCGGGGACCTGTGTCTCTTGGACGTCACCATCAGATCCAGAGACGGCCAGGGCGACATCTACCTCAGCGCGATCACGGACGGCTTCACGCCGGGGAGTAAGAAGTTGATGGCCGAAGGGGGGTTCCGTGACGGCACGTACGCCGAATACGTGAGATTTCCGCTGGAGAATTGCTTCCGCCTGGATGAGCGGAAGTTGCTGGGTTCGCCCGAGGAGGGTGGGTGGGGGTACTTGATGGAGGACTTGCCGTACATTAACAAGATGCTGGTACCGTACGGCGGCATGGGCCCATTGTGTATTGATGTGAAGCCGGGCGAGACGGTCGTTGTCGCTCCCGCCACCGGCTCGTTCGGCGCGGCCGCTGTGCATCTTGCCCTGGAACTGGGTGCGGGAAAGGTGATCGCCATGGGAAGGAATACAGCCGTGCTGGAGAAGGTCAAAGCACTCGAGCCAGACGACAAGAAGTCGCGAGTCGTCACTGTGCCGCTAACTGGAATCCTCGAGAAGGATCTAAAAGCTCTTACCGATGCGAAAAATGGTGGGGCTATCGATGTCTTCTTCGACATATCGCCGCCAATGGCCAAAGATTCTGCTCACGTCAAGGCGGGTGTCTTGTCTTTATGCCATGGCGGCAGACTGTGTCTGATGGGCGGACTCAGAGACGACGTTGCTTTGCCGCATCTGATTGTGATGCACTATGACATAACTATCAAGGGTAAATGGATGTATGAGCGTGAGGACGTGACAAGCTTCATCAAGATGGTGGAAAGCGGCACAGTGAGGCTACATAACGACAAACGAGGATGGAACATGTATGGAAGCCAATGTAGGAAGAAGTATCGATTGGAAGACTGGGCAGATGCTTTCGATGAAGCACACAAGCTCTCTGGCGAGGGTCGTGTTGTCTTCGAGCCTTGAAAATGATACAACATTTACAGGCTTCCATTTTCATAAGCCATCCATGGTAAGTACTCGAAACTAGCCGTTGGCCTGTATATAGTACAATCGGTGATGTTTCAATGCACTCTAATTCGTGCGCGAAGTGTAAGCCACAATAGTTTCCATTCCCTGATGTTGTCGTGTCCATCTTTCATGTTTTGTTTCGAGTTCGCATCCTAGTCTGAAACCGCTTTTCGGATCCCACCGGTGGAGGCTTAGATTTCATAGATGCCGCACTCAAATCCATCTTAACTTCAGGCTGAATTACGTTGTCTGTTGCAAGCTCACTGGTCACCGCAGATAGCATTTGTTTGCAGTTCTCGAGAGAGAATGTCGATGTCGGCGCAACCGGAACTGGCAGACTGATGGTCTTTTTGGGTGCTGGCGTCCCGTTGTATGTGCCGACATTTAATTTCCTGAGTTTGCGAACCTTTCGTACCTGCTTCTTTTCCTCCTCACTCCTAGTGCCCTCGGATTCTAGAGCACTTTCAGGATGCTTCTCCTTAACAGGGTCTGTAGCGATAGAGAAAGCTGCTTGTGCCGGTTCTTCTGTTGAGCAAAGCACTGGAGTATCGTCTTGGAATCTAGTCAGTTGTACAGCCCAGGTGACCTCCTTTGCCTTCCTCCGCCTTTTCTTCCGATTCTCCACAGGCACTGCTGTGGGGTCTCGAGCTTTGGCTTCGGCATCCAGCTGGATGAGCCTCTCATGTACCGATTTTGCAACGCCTTTGTTCCGCTTGGTGTTTGATCTAGTCATCAAGGCTACTGATTGCGTCTCTTTCTGAGAAATAAATTCGGCTCCTGTCAATCGTTTCAGAGCGATACTATTTGGCAGAGTGGTGCTTGGTTTTTGGAGTCGTGGTAACCTGGTATTGAGTCTCGAGCTGCGTCGACAGGGAGATAGTTGAATATTTTCCGTTTGCACATCTGGTTGAAGAGTTGTAGTGCCTGGCTCCGGAGGGGAGCCACTGAGGTGGATATCTTCGATGTCCTCGACTGGGCTCGCAGGGCTAGGGCATTCTTCTTCAATATCCATTGCGCCAGGGATCTGCTGTTGATTTTCGTTAACATCTGGCTGTTGTCTGGTGGCCTTCTGCGCACGTGCACGAGAGAGAAAGTCATGGAGGAATGCAGTATCGTCTTCACCAGCTAATGCGATATTGCTGATCTCGGTTGGTGCTGGCATCATGAGACCCTCTGCTACCGTAGTAATGGCTTGTAGTGCATATAATTCACTGGTATTCGAGTGCCGTGGAGCTAAAAGTGATGCATCGCTGGTTGCATTTGATTCGGACGCAGCATTTTCACGTATAGGCTCATCGGCTGAGTCTGTAGACTGTAAATCAAGATCTTCTCCATCCGGTGACTCCATCCTAGTGGCGTCGCAAATTGGAAAGAGTACACTTGATGGCGCACTAATTTCGCCATGAGGGCCTTCAAGATCCTCATTCTCTGTGCAGTTGGAATCTGTAGTAACATCATCACAAAGTGCGGTCGCAGAAGCTGCCTCTATTAGTACTGCTGTCTCGCGAACGTAACAGGCAGTGATTCCTTCCCGGTTGATCGCGGTGAATCCTGTGACCTTCCTCTTTGGACTAGCTGTATCCTTCCGATCCTCGTCCCATTTTGAAGCAACAAAGTCAATGTTTTCCTTGTCTTCATCTTCGTCGAGCTGTGTGATTTTCAATCTTTTCACAGGTCGCGTGATAGGGCCACGGTCTGCCTTGTTCCATGAGTTACTCGGATTAGATGTGATGGATCCAAGCGGAACGCGTTTCCAGATCTTCTGTGCCTCATTCCGAGCTAGATATGGAGTGGCGGGCCGCCGCTCCCAGGCACGAGGGTGTGTCTTGGTGCGCTGTGGGGTGAAGGTGAATTTTCGAGGGGAGAGGCGATCTTGCCGAGGAGAGGAAGTGAGGCTGGGCTGAGCAGGACTGGAGGAGCCATTTAGAGAGGCAGTATCGAAGGACAATTGTTGATCCAGCTTCTTAGGCGTGAGAGTCACCAGGGTCGGTGCCATTGATTAAATGTTTGATGAGGATGAAAAGCTGGGTTGGCGAGTACAGGGGCATGAGCTCCGAGATCGATCAATGACACATCACGCTGTCTGCGATCCGACTTGAAGCGCCCAAATAATGATGATATAGAACCGCTGCTGCTAGGCAAATACTATATTAGTAGACAAATCTGAAGTGCGGGTACGGACAAGGAAGGTGGTCAGAGAGTTGGACGCGATTCGGTGGTGAACTTGTGAGCTTGGTGAAGGTGCGTGAATGCTATGTTTATGCGTTTCCCCAATGGGTTAGGCAAGTAGGCACCAGGAGCTAGTACTGCTTTAGGCAAGTCGCGCACCAGCCCTCATTATGGGAAGGAGCGCCGGGACACAAGTAACCAAGGACTAGGTACTCCGTCCACAAAGCAAGCCACTCACAATTCACCACAGTCAAATCGGGGCATCTGTAGAAAAATCGATGGATCCATTCATAACTTAGTAGGTCTATCTGTGCGTCTTGTCTCAACTGCATTTCTCGGCCATCTGGCAGATTAGATCTGTGCCTCGTCAATCATGAACATCAAGCACTGGCGTCTCTCGCTCTTGGATCCCCATTGCTTTTCTTCCCCTCATGCGTGCATTAACATTCCCATTCGCGACACAGGCATAACAGTGTCACCTATCCTGCTTTCAAGCAGCAATATCAAAATACCAAATCGCTAGTATGCAAGACATCGTTCATTTTGATGTACAGATTTGTGTTGTGTGTCGGTGTACATGACTCATTCCCCTCCCATAAAGTCCCATGTTCTTTTAACTCCCACATGAAAAATGAAAAAAGAAAAGGCCGTGCCGGTAGTGTATTTCCAAGAACACCGCATGCTATGCGCAAAAGAGAACAATGGTGTGAAGACAGGTGAGAAAAGGATGTTTGATTAGGAACAACCATTAGTTATATTGATAGTGCATTTGGGGTACGTATCCACCCATGTCCATGGGTCCACGGGGATAAGCAGTAGGTGGTGCACTGAGTGGCGCCATCGTCATGGAATTTTCGTCGTTGAAATTAGCAAACTCTCCCCAGGATGGCATGCGAGTGACTGGCGCCGTCATTGGGTGTGGCGTCATGGCCATACTGCTTTGTGGGAGTTGACTCAAGGTCTGGTGAGGATACTGGCCATTGATGGTATATGCTGGGACATACTCTGGCATCTGAAGTTGCAGTTCATGCGGACCTGGAGCAGGAGCCATATGCCCAGGCATTCGCAGCGGTGGTGGTCCGGATACATATCTCATATCTTGTGGAAGATAATATTGGGGGCCGCTCGAGGGGATACATTCGGTTCGCGGAGAAGCATCGTAGTATTCGATGCCACCTTCGGGATGGATATAGTTGCCAGAAGGGGGAGTCAAGATCGCTGCAGCTGTTGAGGAGTAGCTGGCAGAGTATTTGGAAATGATCTTCTTGAGTGCCGTGGACAGAATCTTCCATGGGAATACCTTGACGTCCTTCTCAATGTTGCGAGGCTTGGGGTGAGGAAATCCCATGATAACCTTGAAAAACTCTTCACTGTCTGTTTTAGCCTTGGACACCGTCATGGGGCGGAATCCCTCGAGATTGCGACGAATGCGGTTCTTTTCTTCGACAGTGAAGCGGACGCCGACCAACGCTTCGAGGAGATAGATGGTGTCAACTGAAGTAACGAAGAATTCGTTCTTCTCCTTCCACCAGATACAGCTAATGCAGATACTGCCAGAGGCACGGTCCTGGGGAGATACGGGGGCAAACTCAGCATTGATTGTACAGTTAATCTGGTTGCGCTTGAACTCGACCAGGCGGCGGCGACATTCGCGCTCATCTGCAGTCCAATTCTGCTTCATGGTCTCTAGATCGCCCTTAAGTTTGAGGTTGGCCTTGAGGGGATACATGGCATAAGGGTTAAATGTCTGGGTCTGTCCGGCAACCATGGTACTCATCACACTGGGAGGTGACTGCTGGATGGTTGATGTGCGGACCAGCTGAGGAAGAGACGACTTCATGGGGGAGGTTGTGGATCCTGGACGGGCCAGGGGAGTCATGGGCACTCCTGGGCTCTGTTCACTCTTCACGGTGGTGAACGAAGGGCTGAACGCAGGAGTGTGCGGCGACGGTGCGGCCAATGACACCTGGGATGTGTTTGAGGTCGAATAATGATGACCCGATCTTGGAGAAGAGCCGTGAGTGGTGTACGCAGGGATTCCTGTACTACCTGTTGGGGTCGGCACGAATTGGGAGTAAGGAGAAGTCTGGCCACTGAGATCATAATAGTCGCCGTTGGGGTCTTGAACATGAACCTGAGCAACCATGGGTCTCTTATGAATAGGAAGCAAGTCGAACTCTTCAACGCTGGAGGCTTTGCGTTTTGGCTGGGCAGGAACAGTGTCAAAGCCGTCGATACTCGAAGCCTTGCGCTTGCGAGGGTTTGACAGGACAGAGCTGGCAGACGGAACTCGCGAATGGGGTGGGCTATAGTGGCGCATTTGAGCGACACCGTCTTCTTGGATATTCATGAGCATGGGTTTGACATTGTCGTACCCTTCGCTCGTAGGTGCAAATTGTAAGTCTGAATCCGGGAGTAGCCTCGCCCCGTTGGGTTGGAGGAGGGGGTGATGGTCATAATTGCCCTGTGGAAAGGCATCATACATCATCTGGTTATGGATTGCGGACTGAGCCGACATATCTGAATCTCGGTCAGTACATTCGGTCCATCTCGAGGTCTTTCACACATACCTGCAAGGCCTGGTTGACCCATTCTCTCATAGCCGGACATTGAAAAGAGCTGACCAGGTTTAGCCTCAAAGGCTTCCTGGAGTTGACTGGCGAATTGCTCTCCAACGATGATGGACGAGTCAAGAGCGTCGTCGACTATGAAGGGGGTGTTGAAGTCTGGCAGGGACTAGGGACAGGTCAGTATTTGAGCTTGTCAGGACAACATGTTCATCTGCTCGCAACACCGTCGGAGTGAGACAAGCACCAGGGTGGTATATTGCTTACCTGGAAACGATCAAAAGCTATGGAAGCCAGATTGACGGTTGTTCTTGATAACTTCTTGAAAGGGGTTTTGGATAAATCTCTTTTGGGTTAAATGACAAAGCGAGCGTGGGTGTTGCTAAACGAGCGTGGGTGACGAGACAAGGTGTCTCAAATCAAAGCGAGTGAAGATTCCAATATGTTATCGGGATCCGGTAAATTTGAATGTTTCCAGAGAGTTACTTCTGGTACACATCCGAGATGGTCCTGGTCTATCTGAAGAGGTGAGCTCGAGGCCTCGGGCAGGCTCCTTTGCACAACTTCAAAGACAGATGGTCGATGAACCAAGGATGTGGGTCACGACGACGGCCAGTATAGAGATTGGTCACGCCTACCCAGAGAAATTTCAATGGCAGCCGATGACGGTCCGCAAAAACAGCCAGATATGGAACCCTGAGGCTGGCTCAATCTTGGAGAACAAAGAAAATCAATCCGATGGTACGAACTGCCAGCACCGATCAGTCAAACTGTTCGGACACAGTTACGAGGCCTCGGCGGGACTGCTCGTAAGAAATGTTGCTGAACAGGAGTGAATGCGTACGAGGTTTGGCGCAGGCTGGTCTATTTCAATACAGAAACAACCACTCTGAAACGACTGTGACTAGAAGTAGTCAGTGAAAGAGATCTTCGCGAAGTGAAGAGTAGTCTGAAATAGATAGAGCAATGGTACATAATTTCGCATGGAGGTAAGGAGAGTGCTCACTAGCGAATTTGGAATGAAGGCGTTCTTGGTCCAATTTTGGTGATGGGGTAAATCTGGAAATGAATAGAGATGCTTACCAAGTGAAATGTACTGATTGTAATCTCAGCTAGGCCAGTACTATATTTCGACCTCTTTGCTGTTGTTGTTTGCAGTGGTAGGGCCAGGCGAGTGAATCCGACAGTGGTCCCAACGGATGGAAGTGCAGGCAGCGCCGGACAAGGTTGGGGTTGGATTCCAACTAAGGAGAACCCTGAATATTCCCAGTGATATGATGATGCGAGGATAAGGTGTGAATAGTATTTCTACTCGATACCAATTCCCTACAAGTGACGAAGGAATTCTGGATCACAGGGCAGGGTTGGATGAGGTCGAGTGCGAGTCTTAGGCTTCTCAGCGAATGAACCGGGATCGAGGGACTTGAGCGATTGATGTCCAACGAAGGTTGTGCAAAGGCGTGAAAAGCGAATGTGATGGATGGAAAGAATAACGAAAGTATGGCCTGCGAACAGAACCAGAAAACTCGAGCGAAGGTAAGTACTGAGGTGAGTACGGGAGATGGTGGAGAGCGGGAATGAAGACTGGCGACCCGAGGGAAGGAGGGGGAGTAAATGGCTATATCGGCCAGGCCTCAAGGGTGGCAGTGCGGCAAGTGAGTGGGCGTTCCTGTGTACGGACTAATCGTGCTGGCAGTTGGGAAAAGGCCAAAGTCACGCAGGGCATGGCTCCATGCTTCCTCGGCGAGTCGACTGGAGAGGCAAAGAGGCAAGCCCAATGGACACCAAGGCGAGTAACGAGTTTGAGGGTTAGTTAGTGGCAGCGACCGGCTAGCGGGCCTGGTCGAAGGGGGGGCACCCGGGGGGGACTAATGAGGAACGAGGGAGGCAGGAGGAGGTCGGAATGACGGTTCAGGATTAGCACGAGGGACGAGGGGATGGCTTCTGTGTGAGAGAAAGACAGGATTAGCACAGGAAAAGCGGAGACAGAACGCAGAGAGCAGATCGCTGGAGGAGGCTTGATGCGAGCGCGGCTTTGGTGTGAGTGGCCTGTCACAGTTTCTGCTTCTGCATGCAGTGCCCGGGGGACGAGCAGGAGTCCCGCCTAGTCCCGATCAGCGAGAAGTGCAGGAGGCATGAGGTGCGAGGCATGAAGCATGAATTCATGAGGCATGACAAGCCCACACACGGCGAAAGGATGACACGGCGGGGAGGGCGATGTGCGCTGTGCATGTCGCCGGTGCTCTGATACAGCTACAGCTACAGCTACGAGGTATTATTTTTACATCCTACACTGGCTTCGCTGGCACGGACGCCTGGGCGGCTCGAGTCACCGCCAGACAGTGCCTGAAGCCCAAGTTTAGGGACATGGAAACCCAATGCCAGGGCCTGGGTCGAGAGGGGAGGCCGCAGACAGGACGTTTGGTAGCAACGACGTCCGCCGTCCTCGTAGGCATCATTGAGGCAACCCTGCCTCGGCATCTGGCGGCAACGGATGGGTGGAAGGGGCACAATTCGATCGACCCAAAGAATTCAAAAAGGTGGGAATAATTCTTTGGGGCTTTTTACTCGAGCAAGTGGCAACATCGTTTACGGAAACCCTTGATGATTGATGGGCGCTGGACGAGGGAAGATGGATACCGGCAGCAGCTGGACCAGGTCTAGACGGTACCACTGGCTTCCAACCAACGGCCAACTCGAAAAACAGTGGAATGGCACATCCACCCAAGCTTAGCCTCCAGCGTGGCAGCCAGAGCCCATGGGCAGGCATCCTGGGGCCCATTACCTTGAACTCTTGAACTAAGCCGGGGGGGCGTGGCGTTGGCGTTGGCGTTGGGGGGGGAGGGGGGGCCTGCACAGCCTCTTCTCCTGCTTTTCTGTCGTCTCTCCTGCTCCTGAGAATGTTCACGCATATCCGCTCGGTACTGCACTCGTAAGCCCTTCTGGGCAGCTGTGCATGTTTCCAGGCGGCCACTCCCCCTCCAACTCCCAGTCCTCCCTCGGGCGGCATCAGCTTCCACTTCTCAAGGATGCGATTCCCTTCGTAGGCACCCAATTCCCGCCTAATCTATCGTGTGAGAACTTGGAAGTCAATGCATCTGGTTCCAATTTCTCCCTGACGCCTGCAGCCCAGCGGCGACAGTTGATCATCATTGGGTGTCACTGCCCTAGCGTCTGGTGAGGTCATACGAGAGTCAAGTCCTTCGTATGGAGTACTGTAGGAGTAACCACTACGGCTAGGGATTTTTCCTTCAACTCCCAAGGGGCCAGTCCCAGAACTGCCTCTCCTGGCCAGGTCCCCTTTTTAGCTTGTATCTATTTTTGACGACGCCAGCGTAACCGACCGCCGGCCCTGGTTGTCCGCTTCCCTTGGCTCCTTCCCCCTATCAAACTCTTGCCCTTTCCGCTTTTGCCTCCCACCGCCACGCTTGCCTCAAACCCGCCTAGCGTCATGCGGAGATATCACCCAAGAGTCCCAAGAGTCCCAAGACTCGACGTCAGGACATCCACTTGTCGGGAGGATGGCGTCGACAGAAACGGTGGCAACCCCTTCGCTTCACATTTTGACATTTGTCCAGTGTTTGGAGATGAACGCCCGGCTCCCAGTTCATGCACGGTTGGCACCGTTTGGCGTTGTTTGTTTTGTGCTTCATATCTACTAGGAGCGGTTACGAGGCTGCTATCCAAACACCAAAACACCAACCACCGCCAGCCAGTTCATTTTCGGTGATCGGTTCGTCGATACCTGAGGATTAGCAAGTCCTACGAGCGTCGAGTATCTACGAGGATACTCCCAACTGGCGGTGGCGGTTCGTGTTTGTCGCAATTGCCCACTTTATCCGTCCCCGTGGCCTTATCCTGGAAATATGGACCGTCAGCCATTAGACCAGAGTCAGTGACATTCTTGCATATGAGAATTTCCGACTGCTTCGAGGTCGTCCCACTTCTGGAGTCTACAGCCGCTCAGGAACCGGGTCCCACAGCATGTCCCTCGCACAGAGGACCTGCTATACGGAGTACTTTGGATCGCCACAATGCAGGTTGCCAATCCTATGAAGGCTCCTCCAGTTATATCTCATTTCCGGCACCACTCTGTCGCACTGCCACAATGATGTACACATTCAGCGCTTTGTATAATTATTCATCGCGGACGAACCACGTCATTCACTACTGCTCTTCCTGCATCTGCGTGCATATCCCTCGAAATGAACGACCGGGGGCTCAGATAGCCACATTCGCGGATCATGCAACTCCTACATACCACCATATCACCCTGTTCCTGTTTTTGCGCCCCTTTCCATGCTGCTGGCACCACCTCTGCCAGGGTCGCACACTCGTTAGATCAAGTCGGGCTAATTGTGACAACTGCTGCATATCAAGCGAGGATGGATTATGGATGAAGGGGGGTTTGCACTACCGCTACATCCTACCAGGCACCGAATACTGCTGTCTGCCTCTACTTTTTCCACCATTATAGTACGGAGTCTCTCCGTGCTCGTAGTTGGAATAGCCACGGGGCTACGAAGAACTGGTCGATCTGGGGAACCTTCACCCGCCAGCCACAAGCGTTTTTCTCAGAATCAGGGCATTTGCCCATTTACCGGCCTTCAAGGGGCTAACGCACTTCTCTATCCACATGCCAAAGCTCTTGATGGAAAGCTGGGCTGTGGGAGACGAGATTCCTCGACTTCTAAGTTCTGTGTCCACCGCCCGATTCCATCTGGTCCATCCAACATCAAACCCACAATAGCTGCTACTCCTATCCGGCTATTGCCGCACCCTGTATTCCATGCTGACTACTCCATACTCCGTACGCTCTACGAAGTACAACCAGCTAACATCAGCAAGATGCTTCAAACTCCACGCTTGGCTCCTTCAGTAGTCTTTTTGGGTGACGAGTCCTCTGTACACTAGCTACTGTGTGCCGAAGGCCTCATGCAGACGTATCTCCGTGGTGCCTGCCTCGGCCTTCTCTTCAACAGTCTAACTAACCCTCTTGCCGATCCTGCGAGGCGCACCGGATATGTTTCAGAACGTCTCCTGACTCGCCTGCTTTCACGCTTCTGCATCTCGTGTATTTTATCACACCTGCTTGACACACTCTGCTAGTTCACCAATTCGCGAGCCACCTGATCGCATACTCCGTCTCCTTCGACCTTAAAGGATTGAAACGAAATGATGCAGGTTTTCATGCAGGATGAGACAATCATTCGTGAAGACATCAGGACGTGCAGTCCGGCCACGTTAGCACCTTGAAAGTGCGTCGCGGACGCTCTATCCGGCTTCCCAAAACCAATTCAAAATCAGCAGAATCCTCCACCGTGCCCGCCTTCTATTTTAACCCTTGCCCCTTAGTTGGTTCGCTTACTGTCCAACCTAGTCCGTCCATTCTGCCCCTAGGACACGGCTCACTGGTCAGGGTTTTGAATATTTTTGCTCCAACGGCCCTCGGCGATCATAAACAATTAAGGCCGACCTTTTACTTCCTGCCAGCAAATAGAATCATGACATTTGGTCATTATGACACGCCGGATACTTGGCATCCTCTGAGCCTGGGCAACAATCATCACATTCGTCCATGGGCTTGTTCCAACTCGCCAGAAGAGTAGAAATCTCAGCCAGCGATGGGTCACCACGGCCGAATGCAGGCGGGTCAGACCAAACCTGCACGTTCCGTCGATCTGTATCACAGACATTTTCAGCTCCTGAACCAGTTGCCGACGGAAGGTTACCAGGGTTCCAAGACTTCAAGAGCCTGTCTCGTTTGATAAGGTACAGTAGGAAAGGACGATAACGCAGATCCGATCTGCACTGGGAGCACCCGTAAACGGCCGCCGTAGCCGTCACAACCAGGATTTGTTCCAGACTTCCAGTTGATCTTTCATGAATTTTCACATTCCAAAACAAAACAAAACATCGCCGGGACTGAAATAATGCGCGGTGTGTTCACCGTTTCAGTTGGTTCGACCGCTGCCAACCTGACCCGCATTGTTTCGCGTGGTGCGAGGTACGTGTGTTCACCGTTCAGCAGAAAACCACAGTGATTTTCGTTCTTTGTTGCCCACTCATGGCGCCAAGCATGAAAAGTGTGTGGTTCATTCTTTTCAGCTTTGCTCGAGACAAACGCAAATCGTCAAAGGTAACAGAGGGGCGGTCAAGACCCCAACTACAGTCCCAGATCGCGTGCAGATACGTGTGTGCCCGTTCTGTATGCGCGCGCCCTGCGGTACTTTTGGGTGATGGCCCTGGCGGCGGCGGCGGCTGCAGTTGCAGCATTGAAATTTTATTCTTGTCCTTCCTTGCCGCTGGGATCGTCGTACTACCCTGATGTCAATCGGGTCTCGTCCTGCAGGCATGCAACAAATGCACCCACACCCAGGTGCCGGACCTGCAGCTAACCGCCTATCCCATCCATCGCACGTCCAGCTTGATTTTCTCCCCAAATCCTTGGTTTTAAACAGCATGCCCCAGAACAAGAAGACCAAGAACAAGAAAGAAAGCACGCTACCTCGACGTCGGGTCGTCATCTGGCCCCACGCACTAGGATATGCAATGCAAGATATACGAGTGGTACTCGGTACCTTGGGCCTTGTACCATTCCACCCATGCCAATGCATGCGCGCATTCATTCATGCATGCAGAGGCCCGAGATCTTCTCATTTCCCAAAATAGAATCAAGTTTCTCTCGATTGGTCTGGATGAGGGGGCGCGGTTGACTTCAGCGTTGTCTTGTTGCTATCTGCCGGCCCAAAAGCATCCAGGCGGGCGAGAATTGGACAAGGCGAAATGAAACGAACGCGTGGAGGGCAGGCAAATGCGCCTTGAGGCCCGTCGATCACAAGATGGGGGGACTCAAGAAAGGCAGAATGGTACATGACTTTCAATCAGGCTGCCTAGCTAGCTGGCTGGATATTCCTTTCATGCCACAAATGTAGTATACCAAGTTACTCGTACTTCTAATTATAACAATTCACCATGTGTTCACAACTTACTCTCAGCGGCATCCTTTGAGATCTCAATGACGAGTTTCCCAAACTGGGTGGCGGCTTTCATGTCCTCGAAGAGTCCATTGATGGCGTTGAGGTCGAGGCCCTGGACGACGCGGGAGACCACAACTTGTGCTCGCTTCGTCTTCATGAACTCGACCATGTCCTTGAACTCCTTCCTGGAACCCATAGTTGAGCCCTTGACCTCGATGTTTTTCAGCACGGCTTGCATCAGGAAAGGCATCTTCGGTGAGACCGTCATGCCGTATATGGATATGACGCCGCCAGCCTGGGGATTGACAAATTTCAGGTCAGTACATCTATTGTTTCCTCTACGAAAGGAAAGGGCTGGGGAGGCGACCATGACGAACCTTCAAGAGTTTGGCGCCGCGGGACACAACGTCGCTGCCAGCACCATCGACAATGGCATCAAGCTGTTTGTTTTCAGCAGGCAGCAGCGCGAGTAGTTTCTTGTCCCAGTCGGCGTCCTTGTAGTTGACACCGCCCTTGGCACCGAGTGCAATAGCTTTCTTGATCTTTTCCTCGTTGCTGCTTGTGACGAAGACATTGGCACCGTTGGCTCGTGCAAACTCCAAAGCCGCGAGGGCAACGCCGCCACCGATCCCGGTGATCAGGATGTTCCTTCCTGGTTGCAGGTTTCGCTCACCACACTTGACAAACGTAGCTCTCCAGGCGGTAAGCCCCGTCAAGGGCAACGCCGCGGCCTCTGCATTGGACAAATGAGCGGGAGCCTCTTCAAGCTCAGACTCGTTGATCAGGACGTATTCCTGGAGGGTACCGTTGGGAAGAGTCTTGGTCCCTCCGAGGATCTTATATCCGCCTTTGTCCTCGGGCCCGTCAAGGCTGTCCTTCCAGCCTTCGCCCGGGTTCAGCACGACTCGTTTGCCTTTCCACGCGGGATTGGCTTCGCTGCCCAGGCTGACCACTGTACCCACGCCATCGGCGAGAAGAGGTACTCCGAACGCGATGGCCGGGTAGAGGTGCTGACGCAGGAACAAGTCACGATGGTTGAGGGCGGCTGCTAGCATTTTCACCACGACCTGTTTGCCCCTCGGGGTTGGCTTCGGTACTTCATCGAGCGACAGCGGGTAGTACACTTGTCCCGGCTTGCCATCAACTTTCGATATTGAAATGGCTTTTGGCATCTTGTCGGGTTGGGGTGGTGGCTTTTGGGTTGTTGACGGTGAGTTAATGATGTCGAGATCACGCAGAACCGAATAAATAGTCAACAATCTGGGTACGAGGACAGAGACTGTGCAGGCCGTTCGCTGTTCATGGACCTGTGCTTAGGAATTGGAGCTCGGTGAAAGTTCGCCCGCCCGTCTTGTCTGTCAGAGATGCCTGCTCTTTTCAATTGATCGCTACGGAGATTCAATCATTGATGCCGAGTATGATAGACAGGACCGAAGCATTCGAGCTCGTATATTTCCAATGCGCCCCTCACCGTGCCGGCAATGACTTCCTAAGCCGAGGCAACGTGACGACTCCGAAGCTGGGCCTGCCCCCCGGCTGAGTAATCACCTCCCATCGGCCACCAGAGCGCGATACTGTATATTCATTCCACACGCACTGATTTGGGGGGGGG